ATCTTCAGTTTTGGCTTCTTCTTCTTCCTCCTCATGGTCTACCAAATAATCTTCAGTTTTGGCTTCTTCTTCCTCTTCCTCATGTTCTACCAAATCATCTTCAGTTTTGGCTTCTTCTTCCTCCTCATGCTCTATTAAATAATCTCCAGTTTTGGCTTCTTCCTCTTCTTCCTCCTCATGGTCTACCAAATCATCCTCAGTTTTGGCTTCCTCTTCCTTCTCATGCTCTATTAAATAATCTCCAGTTTTGGCTTCTTCCTCTTCTTCCTCCTCATGCTCTACCAAATCATCTTCAGTTTTGGCTTCCTCTTCTTCCTCATGCTCTATTAAATAATCCTCAGTTTTGGCTTCCTCTTCTTCCTCCTCATGGTCTACCAAATAATCTTCAGATTTGGCCTCTTCTTCCTCCTCATGTTTTGCCAAATAATCTTCAGTTTTGGCTTCCTCTTCTTCCTCCTCATGGTCTACCAAATAATCTTCAGTTTTGGCCTCTTCTTCTACCTCCTCATGTTCTACTGAAGCATCGTCAGTTCTGGCCTGGCCAAAAATGTCTTCAGTTTTTGTTTTCTCATGTTTATCCACAATAGTTTCTTCAGTTTTGCTCTCCTCATCATCTTCTACCAAAATGTCTTTGGTTTTGGTCTCCTGCACCTCTTCATCTTCTACCACCCCTTCTGCTAACTGTATCACTTCATCATTTACAATTATCGCAAATTCATCTGTCTTTGTGTCTCTCTTTTCTTGGTCTTCACCTCTACCATCACCTCCTCCTTCTATCACCTCTTTATTCTCTTTTTCTTTTATTAATTGTTCTGCATTATCCTCTATTTGAACTTCATCATCATCACCCTCTCCAATTTCCTCTTCCTCCTCCTTGGTGTCATCATCAAGCTTTTCCTCCTCCTCCTTCAGTGATGGTCTCAGTTCTGGTTCTTCAGTGTGTCTTGCTAGTGATGTGATAGCAATAAATTTAGTGTCTGTTTTTAACTTAATTAATGTGATTTAAAAAAAAAAAGAAAGAAACAAAAATCATGTGAATACCATCATCTTCCTCTGTCACATCTGCTTCAGTGGGTGCCATCTCGGAGTCTTCTTTTATCTCTGCAGCAGGAGCAGCTTCATCTTTGGCAGCACGCATGATCTCTGTAACTGTATTACGAACCTTATCATCCCTCTTATGTGATCTTCATTTCTTTATAGGGTGATTTTAATGGTGCAAAATCATAGCAACATTACAGCATGATATACACCACAGATTGCAGTTAGTGGATTTTTAAAATTGCTTCATAAATTGAAGCAGGAATTATTTTATATCTCGTTTCTTTTCTATTTAGCTTCTTTTAAAGTGTTTTTTAAATGCCTTGTAACTTCCTGAAGTAGCTGGTACAAACTGCAGCTGAGCTATATGTTTAGCCACTCATTACAGCAGAGTACTTGATCAAATTAGGCTACAGTGCCGTGATGATCTTAATGAAGGAGCTGGCTGGATCAAATAGTTTATATAAAACCACAGGACCAAAGGAACATGATGTATCAAAACTGGCTACAATGGTAAATACAGTGTAAAAGTATTGTGAATGCTATCTTTGCAACATGTGGTGTGTTTAATAGTTACATGCACAGGTAAAAAGTATACAAAAACACATGTAATCCAGTCCGGACGATCCAAGGATATACATATGACAACAGTGTAAATGGTCAAAAACAGGAGGCAACCAGTCAGTGGCACAAAAAATGCGAGAAAGAGCAACAAAGGAATGCAAGTCTGAAGGACACACATGGTCATGCACAATGTTACACAGAAAAACATGATGACTGAGTCAAGACATATCACTGCGAAGTTCTGTAAAATATTACAACAAATGGTCAGTGTGACAAAGAAAGGGAGGAATGAAGTAAACCAATCCATAACAATGTAGCAGCTTAATGACAATTAGAATAACAGAATGAAGAACAGATATGATGCATGTTTGTCCATGCTATAATGTAATGAGTACAAATCGAGTATTTTTCAAACACAGTGGCACGCAGTTTCATAGATCTTCAGGGTTACACTGAACAGTGAGGCATACCATGAGGCAGACTTGAAAACAGATTGAATAATGTCCCTTGAAAAACACAAGTCTGTACAAACATGCAAGAAACAAACAAAAATCAAAAAATCTATGCAGTCTAGTTGCTTGCAACACACATTGCGCATGTTTAAAAGCACATTTTAAATGTCTTTAATGAAGATATTTTCTTACCTTTTTCAAATGGAGGCAGAAATTTCCCTGTATTAACACATGGAAAAAGACACTTAGCTTCTTTTTTTTAATGTAATATTTCCTTTTCTGTATTACTGCAATGGAAAACAGAAGAAATACTGTCATTACCTTTCCTTCTTACTAAATTGATATCAGATGGGGAAGGTACAGCTTCATCTAAAAGAAACAAAGACGTTTTGTGAAAACCTGCCAATCATAAATGTTTATCAGAATATTTCTGAGTGGATTAAAGCAGAAACCTTTTTCTGTTACTACATTTACACCTGGGGTGGTGACAGGTTCCCCTGAAACATAGAAAATATTTAGCAGATGGATTTTTAATATTTCCTAATTAATAGTACTGAACATCTAATACTAATAGCCATACCCTGATCACCAACAATCATGCTTGACATGTAAGCTAAGAGCAAATCCTTCTTGTCTGTGAGCTCTGACACAGCATCTTCAACAACTTTCATTGGGTCAATGGACACTTCAGGCATGATTCCTGAAAATGAAAAACACCAGACAGTGAATAAAAGCTGCTTTGTCTTTATTTAGAAAATCAGCTTAGCTGCCGTAAGGATAAGATGTAACCAATTTTCTGATAATGACGTAGGCTAAAACAGACCTTGTTCACCAATCAGTGTTGAGGAGATGTAGCTCGCAAGCAGGTTTGTCTGCTCTTTGGTGATTTCTGCTGCTGACTTAAAAACTGACACGGGGCTAAATCCCAAGGTATGCTGGATATCTAACCAACAGAGAAAATAATAGAGAAAATAAAACAATCCTTCGTGAAGTCTGGGAAACCTGCAGTGTGTGCATTGTATCAGGTGATGTCTTGGCAGACTGTGTACCTTTTAGCGTGTCCAGTATGACATCCAAGACTGCGCAGAGCACGCCCTGGATGTAGCCAAATAGTCCACTCACAAAGTCATTAGTAACACTGAAGGCATTTCTGCCAATAACCACGGGGTCAATGAAGCTAATGTCAGTGGTTCCTGAGGACAACACACACTCAGGTCAAAGGTGCAGTAAAGTACTTCATTAAACATACGTGTACTTGACAGTTACACAGACATTAGAAAAATGTGTTTAAGGCCAACATTTTCCTTATAAAGGCATGCATTGTCAAAGTTAGATAAGTTATATAAGTTTTTGTTTAGTGGACAACATCCATAACAAGCTAAAAAGAGTTACTGTTGCTCTAAAAATACATTCCTAATAAAGTCTGTAAAATGCATAAGCAGTATATACAGAATATAAGATGTACTGTAAATATTAAGCCACAAACATCACAAATGAGACAATATGGAGGCACTGAATACCTTTGAATACATCCAGCATCATGTCTACGATGGTACAGAGCACGTCCTGGATGTAGCCAGATATTCCACTCACTGTGTCATTTGTGACGTGGAATATATTTCTTCCTATTACCACAGGGTCCATGAAGCTAATGTCGACGGTTCCTGAGAAACACAAACAGGAAATGAATACGGACCTAAAGTATGCAAAGCAAACTCTCTAAATTGTGTTCGATAGATATTCTTTTATGTCGTTTTTAAGAGGTTATGGGTTAAACGAGAGAGCGCAAATACCTTTCACTACATTCAGTGTAGTGTCCAGTATGGAACAGAGCACATCCTGGATGTAGCTCGCCACTCCACACATGAACTCATTAGTAGCATTAAAGACACCTCTGCCTATCATTACAGGGTCAATATAGCCAAGATCAGTTTTTCCTGAATGGAAAAGAAATAGAAAAATAAGTGCATTTGTAAGTACATTCTGCATTAATTAATAATGTTACAAACCAGCGAGGGAGTTAAAGTTTAGTTCAAGTATTTAAAAAAAGACAGATTTATTCATTCATTAACTGTATGTGAAACAAGAGAAAAACAGTCTTGAGTAGAAAAAGGATTCAAGTATAAATTACATACCTTTTTTAATATCTTCTATGGTTTCCAGTGATGTATCCACAACAGCACACAGTGTGTCCCTGAAGGAACCCAGTGCTCCACCTATGAAGTCATTCGTTGAATGGAAAGCTTGTCTACCAATGACCACAGGGTCAATGTAGCTGAGGTAGAAGTTCCCTGTGGTTTCAGAAGATTATTCTGTACTTATTAAGCAGTCTTTGTTTTTGTTGTTTTTGCTTGTGTTGGTAGGAGTGAGCGGTCATACCTTCTTCATCTGACAAATATCGAACAAACCCATCTTTTGCTTCTGATATTTCCTCGGCTGCGTATCTGGCAGCTGACATGGGGTCACTTAAATCCGGTGCGCATTCTGCAAAAGTACAGCAAGTCATGCATTAGAGAGCTTACACAAATAAAAACTGTGCCAAGATAAATTCCCCACTACCTTGAAACTTATTGAGCAGACTGGATAACTCATCAGTGGCATCGTTCACGGCCTGGACAGGGTCCGTTATGATCTGCTGAATGTCTAACGATGATAGCAAACATGTTGGTCAGATTCTGCATAACTGATGGCTTAAAAGACTTGGAGACATACAGTTTTAGATTTTGTGGCTTACCGGGGATTGCTTTGTACTCAACAAAGTCAAACATCACCACACCTACAACCAGCCAGGACAGGAGAGCAGCAAGGGCAATCAGCAGCTCAACAGACATTTTCACCTTGTTGAGCAGCCCCAGACCTTTGGATCTGAGAGAGCTCGTCTGTGGCGCTGCTGCTCCGTCACTGGACCGAGTGGCTGCAGCGTGGGAGGCTGATTTGGCTACTATATGTGGAAGACATAAAGAGACAAAAGTTAGTCTGACAAATTCTTTCTGCTTTTGTTCTTGTGCTTGTAATGTTTGATATTCTTGCACTGCTAAAGTAACCACAAGGGTTTCAGTTCTTTATAAATATCCACTGCAGATCATGTGCAAAACCTATATGGATCAGAACTGATAAAACAATTAAATGTCTGCTTGTACACATATTTATTGTTGTCTATAATGAGTGATTGGTAGCAAGAACTTGCACACTTGCATAGTTTGACCACCAGAGGGAGCTGACATCACACTTTTAGCTGTGAAATCTCTGTATGTCTCCTAACAACAGTGAAAGTGTTTCTCCGTGTTTTGTTCCTCTGTTACAAAGTGTCCAAACTATGTATGTTTTATCAGATCTGTCAATTGTTGCGTAAGTCTTTTTCGGTCATATTATCGCCCTCTTTCAGTAATTTCACTATCGTAACAATGATTTTGCCCTGGCGTCAAAATAAAAGCCCATTTTCTTAACCCTTTCAAGTCTTATCATCTCTACACAATGAAGACAAACCCTGACAGGAAGACATTTTGTGCACAGATAGTGCATTATTAGTTGTATATATATAATTTTTCATCTTTACCATGACCCTATACTGTCTCTTTATTTCCTTATTATTTATATTAATCGGAAATGTTAAACGTCATCAGAAAAGTCATGGTGTGATAGGGCACTCCAATTTTAGCAGTGACATTTTCCAAATGTACTGACACACTTTAGACTGGCTTAGCACAGTGAAAAATGCCCAAGGCAGCATTTAGTAACAGTGTTATCATCATTAAATGCTGTGCACAGAGTGTAAGATTATCTGTACTGATTTACTGTAATGTCAGGCGTCAGGGAGACCTTCACACAAGGTCCAAGTTGAATGAACTCTGAAAATGTTCGATGCATGACCACTTGCTTCCAGCGTGTAGGACACGGGGGAAAAAACCTCTCAGACTCAAACTCAACTCTTCAATCAACAGCATCGTTTAGAGCTGTGCAATTTTTCTAAGTAACTATCGTGTTATTACATTTTTTGTGAAAACACAACAAGTTCACTCGCTGTTAAAAAACCCCAAACCCAAAAACATTAGATCTTAATTAGATCTGCTTTTTAAAACTGGTGATAACTGAAGTAATAACATTAAGTAATTATGAGCATTGGCTTTGTTTACAGAGTAGCCAATATGCACTATACACTTCATAAGAAAAGACTATGTGCTGGAGCGCATTATAAAGCTTTACAGGTTATTTATTGTTATCAGCTTTCTACAGTGCTTTTGATGCCTTTAAAATAACCGCTAACGATTCAAAGAGTAGCACAAAGGCATACAGAATAGGGAACACTTGTCTAAACTTGCTGACTGCAATAAGAAACTGTACATATATAAGTGAAAAGCAGGTCTACAGTGTCACAAGGAAATGCTCTTTATAGACACTGGTGGATCAGTAGCAGCAGTCTTCTGCATTAATGTATCAGACGAAGACGATTTTTTTCCTCCACTAACACCACTTTTGCACATTTAAGCATGATCTAAGAGTGTCTTACATTTACACAGTACTGTGAATGCAGGACTTGCAGGTGTTTTTTTCACACTTTTATTTATATATATTCCTTTTGACGTGCTTGAGGTCTACCACCCTGGCTGAGGTCAGCTGCAGCTGCAGTCTGTCACAGGAGAGCAATGCGAATACTCTGGTGACTTGATAGCTTGTATTTATAGCAACCAACTTTCGACACATCATCGTCAGAGGACACAACTTATCAAAACACTGCCGTTTATTTGTTATGCAGAATTTATTACTGTGGATTTTTGTGCTGTAGTAAAGGTTTTATTTGAACAGTTGTGCTTGAAGACCCAGGTGTAACAACCCTACCTTCAGCCATTGTGACGTGTAGACTATCTCAGGTAGGATACTTTAAATTGGAGACAAAGCCTCCTCATGAAGAATTAACTGGTGACGGCTCCAGTAAATCCAGTTTGAATCCACTTTCTCAGGAAAAAAAAAAGTGTCCCAAGTAGTAAATTATTCCATTGTCACTTGGACCGTCACAGCCTTGTCTTCTTACCCATAACATCCACAGGTGGAACTTGTCCAAGGGTTTAAAAAGTAGAAAATGGAAAATTAAGCATTAATTGAAAGCCTACATATGTTGGGGAATTTGGAGCTGCCTGTGAGGCAGCATTAAAAAAGGGGGTCTGGGGACAGTGGGGCAAAGTAAAGCGACACAGGGGAAGAATCAGCCAAGCTAAGCACAGGGCTGGGCAGGGTGAGGGGAAATGCACAATATCTCACCCAGTGTTTCTGGGGGCTCACATGGGTATAGGCCAGTGCAGAGAGCAGGAAGGCTGCAAGGTAACTCTATCCGCCCAGAAAATACAGGTTATTCTTAGCTGGAGCTCTGCTCACCAGCCGCTCTGGCAGACCTTTTTTGGACGTTCAAGGGTGTGCAAGATCAGCTGGCTGAATTGAGCACCCCTACTGGCTGCTGCACCACTCTGTCCACTAAAAACAAATTACAGGCCCACGATTAATGGCAATTCAGATGAAAACTACCTTCAAATCCCCCCCCACCTCCAAGTTAGGTTAAAACAGCTTCTTTTGAGTAATTTCAGAACCAGTACTAGTCGATAAAAAAAGGTCCATAAAAAGGTCCATAAGTGCATGTTTTTCTGCAAGAGGTCATTAATAGGAATCATGGATAAATGTAGCCTGATCCTGGTTTGACAAAAGTTAACAGGAGCCAAAACTGTAACTGCTTATGGAAAAGGATTAGGGCCATCGAAAGAAAAAAGAAGTCAGAATTGGTTTTTTCCCCCCCCTGGTGGCCCAAATCTTTTCCATAACTGCTTCTTCCAGTTGTTCAGGTTTTTATATTAATACCTGCAACGCAGGATCCATGGTTTGTGTCTTCAAGGCAACAGAGCTTAAAGTTCATTTCTTATTTAAAATCCCTATTTCCAGTATTGGTTTTTTTTTCAGATGAACATAATAAATTAATCATCGGTAGTTACTTAAATTCAGTGGTCTCTGCTAGCATTGACATTTTGTATACTGACAAAATGATTGATATGACTTTAAGTATGTTTTCCATCTGAGAAAAAACCACCACAATGAAAATCCCACTGACATTGGACATCTGAAAAACCTGAGTAGCAGCTAAAGTGATGGAGGGTGACTGATTTGCACCCCAAAGTTCTGGATAAAGTCTGTTCTGTTTTATTCAAATATATTTTAGATTGGTCGGTTTGGCCAGTCTTAATATAATTTCATTAAAGTTAGATAGTTTCACACAGTAAAAAGAGCAATCCAATCCAAACAACAACAAAAAGGCCACCCTCTTAATCCTGATGCTAAACTAAGAACATTGCTTTCATGATAAACAACCATGAAAATATTAAAAATAATAGCAACAAAAGCGCTGTGTATAACACTGTGATTAGCAAACACTGCTGTGGAGTGAATAATGAGAAGGGGTGGGGGATGCTGCAAAGAGAGAGAAGGTAATCTGGACATCTACAAGTATGTGGGTGGTTCCAAGAAAGTCTCCCACAGGCCAATACCTCCAAAAGGTGACACCTGTGCTAATAAGCCACACCATTGGTAGGAATGCCATTCAGAGTTATTATATAATATATTCTGCGTATGTTTACATAGTAAATGTACCAGAGAAATGTGTCTAAATACACGGAAAAAACTTTATTGAGTCATCTGAAAAACAGCACTTAACATAAAATAGAACTTGGAACATGAGCTTATATCTCAACTTAAACTGGATCAAACTGTGGATTTGTAAAATAAACTTACTGCAAAATGTAGCTTTTAAAGCAGAAACATTAAACCCAGACACATGCCCGAACACCAGTTTGTTTGTTTACAGTGTAGCTGCGTCGCTCATGGTAACAGGCCTGATGAATAAGCTGAGCTCCACAGGTACAGGAGGAGCCACGTATCTCTCCTCCCTCAGCAGTCGCAGTAACAAATCCTCAGTGTCCTGCGGCCAGCGGTACACGGGAGTATTCTGGAGCCAGCTTGGGACATGTTTCTGTCGAGATTTTCCACAGTTTAAAAAAAAAAAAATAAATATATATATATAATAAAGATGAGATTAATACAAAGGGATAAATATGGGAAATGTTTTCTGACCTGGGATGCACAAAGGAAGAGAACCGGGATGAATCTAAAATTCAAGCTCCCCTGCTGGATGAACTCATTCTGCATCTGGCAAAATTAAATATACAATAAAATACTCTAAGTTTACCTGTCAGCATTATTGCATATTTTTTATGCAAAGAAATATGACATTATTTTTTGTGTTTAAAGTGTCTAAAGATACAATTTTAAATTGTTTCTTTGCTAAGCTCTCTGTCGTGTGTAGACATAACGCTGGTTCATCCTTTAAGTTAAATGCATTTTTATGCTTGAATGTCCAAAGAAAAAAGCCATTCAGAAAGCCTGGAGAATTATTGCTCAAGGCCCTCTAAAGAAATTAAATAAAATAATTTAAGGGTGGCTCAAGACTTTTGCACAGTATCACAACTCTAATATTTTAATAGCATTTTCTAATTCAGTGTAGAATTAACTCCTCTGCTAAAATACAGTATTTGAGTATTTCCTCCATAGCTGATTTATCCTCACTATTGAGTGGATATATCTGGTGTGTAGACCATGGCTGTCAACTGCAGGTCCTTCAATATCCTCCTTGTACTTTGGACTGATGGCGATAATAATAAGGGTTAACGGCTGTTAAAAAAAAAAAAACAGACAGAAATTTCAGACAATGAATAAAAAGACAGTGTTCATACAAAAGTAACTTGAAATAAACACAGATACAGCAAAAACATGGAATATGAAATATTATTTTATCTATTATAGAGGGTAACACACTTGCTGATCTTGATGATGGGTACTTTATTAATCCCAGGGGGAATCTGAGATTCTCCGGAGCTCACACAACCACATAACTACATAAACACTAACAGAAAGCAGACTGACTATCAAGCTAGAATCATAGTTTAAAAATAAGATAGAAAAACATATGTTACAAGACCTGTGCAAATAATAGTGTAGCCTAGTAAGGAGTATTAAAAAGGTAGACTTGTAGAGATACTTGCAGCAATTTATGGTAACAATATAACTTTGCACACAGTTCTCATAATTACTTACATCTTTAAGGTAACTGTCTGTCCACTTGTTGACGTCCATACATCTAATGGAGCTGTCATATAAGTCAATCTGTGAAATTCAGGTTAGTGCTGTGAGCAAAGTGTTTAATGATATTACAGAATGATAGTGTACACAGGGTGGAAGCTTACAGCCGGTCGAAAACCTTGCTTTGTGAGGAAATCCACAAAGGGGACCATCTCTGAGGACACGTCCGAAGAGTAAGTGATGAAAACGTTTCCTGAGAAGAGGCAAGATAATAAAACCCAAACAATCAGAATCTTAAAGCTTTATGTTCAGTGTCAGCTTAATATAAGCGTACTTGTATTTTCTGCTATACTGTTACATACTGGTTTGGCTGTTGATGCTTCATTTAGTGCTAGTGTTCAAAGCCAAACTGTGACTTAAAACGTTTCAAAAAAGAAGAAACAGCAGCAAATAAAAATGATCAGATAGGTGAAGTACCTTGATCCTGACTGCCTTTGGTATCAAATTACATTTTGAGAAAATAATTAAGCTACCACTGGGTTTTGGTCACCGATTTCTAAAAATAAACGGGAAAAAAAAAATGTATATAAAAAATGTGGTCAGCAAAAATATCTTCATCATTATTCTAAGTAACTCATTCCTATATTATAAATTTGAAAAATTAATCAAAAATATAGCCTAAAGCTAGCTTTCTTACAATATTTTGAGCTTGCTTTTTATTTTAAATGTGAATCTATAAAGACAATACAAATAAATATTACTTCAGTTTACCTGCTATGTAGATAGTTTCTGCGCTAGCGACGAAATGTCTCTAAGATACTAATTAATCTGTTCCGTTAACACTTAAATGTGCATTCCTTGTTACAGAGACAATAAAGTGCCAAAAAAAGCGACTCACGGCACTCATCGGGCAAACGGATGCCCTTCCTTTTCCCGTGTGGATGTGAAGCGGACTCCTCTGCTCCTGCTGAGCCCACATTCAGCATGCCGACCCGTGAAACATCCTCCACAGTGGGAAGTGAGAAGTGAGGGACGTTAACTGAGACACTTCCCATGATGTTATTCTTAAAGTGGTCATGAAACTGGAGCCTGAAGCAGCAAGAAAGAAAAATATACGAAGACCAACATCTTTCACATAATCTTGCCAACCTTTATCAATATACCATACATGTAAAAAATGTTGTTTTCTGAATACATCGTCAGCTGTGTTTACCCATTTTGGGGTTGATTCCGAGGTGTCCAGTGCTGGAAAGGAGCAGAGAGGTGACGTGACTGAGGATGGTATCGGTTGAGATTACACAGCCATTCTCCTGCAGAGTATTAAGTTCATAATATGACGAAGGTCCTTGTGTACAGTTTAAACATTTCTATGGGAGTGTCTGTTGAAAGTGTTTCAGTAAAAGCAGTTTTTTCAAAATCAAGAGTAAATAAGCATCTTTTTTTTTTTTTTTTTTTTTTACCTCAAACACAGTAAATACTAATCACAACCCTTAAATTCACAACAGGTTTCATCCTAATATTTAAAACTTCTTTTACATTTTTCTGTTTTTTCTATTTTTCAATTGCTTTACTTTACCTGCATTGTACTTAAAATTACTTACTGCATAAAGTTTGACACCTTTCCTGTAAAGTACTCAGAAGTTAGGCAAGGTTAAGTCATTCCATAATACAGCCACATGCCCCGAAGTACAGCATACTTGCTAGCCCCTTATTCTAGTGTACTTACCTTTAAGTATATGTTGGTAATTTCAAATTAAATACGTTAAAACTCCATTTCATTACAGGGGAACAGTGCTCTTAGTCGCAGGCCACATTATGAAGTGTTACCCTACAGGTGTGTCATAGCTATATGTATTACAAACATACAGAGTATTCACAGCCTCTTTCAAGGTTTCTTTTATCTAATTACACAAATAAAAGAATCACAACAGATCACCGAACTGCTTTCCTTACCGCAGCTATGGACGTCGTGGTGGGGAAGTAAAAAGGGAGTACAGTGTTGCCACTCGTTGTCATCTTTCAGCGGCAAAGGAGCCTCGAGTTCCTCTTCTAAATCACTCTGAGGTTGAGCGTCGCATTCATCCTCCCCTCTGAAAACGAATGCTTTAACTAATCAAACGTGTGCTGGTATTTTACTCCCTAAAAGTGTAACATGGTTACCTCGCTGTGTTTCCATTTGCAGGCTCAGTTGTTCCACAACGCTTTGCTCCACATTCCCAGCAGCCGCACTCTCTTTTTGTGCCATTCGGCATCGCTCCTTGAGAAAAGCAGTCATCAGAAGACTGATGATGTAGATTCATCCTGGAAGATGTTTCTCTTCCATCTTCTGGTACTCTGGGTTGGATCATCTCCACATGCTGCATAAAATGAAGTTTCTGCTCGCAAAACTCTTGATTCATTTCTCTGCATCTGTTTGGGCTTCGGTAGAAATAATCTGCATTCATGCAGCATCTCGGTCGATCCATTTCATTTTCTCTTACTCCAGCGTTCATAAGTTGAAAGCTGTTTTCTAGCTTTGGCTCCTTTCCAGATTTCTCCATTTTATCTCAGCTTGAGACATCCTGTACCACATCAAATTAGATGATGTGTAAAACAAACATTTCCTTGTGTTAAAATCAATAGATCGAGCTTAATTTACTTGCAGGTATTAAAAACAACAACACGAAAGTTCATGCTCATAAACATGTCTATGGTTAAGTACCAGAAAGAGGCATCACCCTCCTGTTAAAAGTCTGGTTTCAGGACTCCTGTGGATGCACAGACTTGCACTGGAACCTACTATATGCAAATATCTCACGCCTTTGCGCGTCCAATCAGAGCCAAGAATGCAGTCTGTATGCCTGTGCCAGATTGGACAGGAAAGCCTGCATGAGTAAGGAATTTAGTTGTTTTTAAACTCTTTTTTAAATTGTGAAACAGTTTTTTTTATAAGCAGTCCACATTAGAACTTTAAAAAAACAAAAACAAAGCGTGGGATAAAACAGGCTTAGGTTATGCATCTGATTGATATTTGGCTTCAGGGCATACATGTATCCAATGATTTGCATATTCAGCCTTGTCATCGGTGTGAAATTCACCCTGAGGGGAAAAAAACAAAACCACAGGCTCATTTGTACTCTGTCATTTTCAATAGTCTTGTCTGCTTATTCACCATGCCTGTTGCTGAGAACCTGAAATTTCTTGAGAATGGGAGCAGTCAGACGAGCTTCACAAACAGTGTTAAATAGTGCGTCGTAATGGCAGGATTCTTTATTTCAAAAACAGCTGTGCACGCAGAACAGACAGAGACAATAAATAGAGACCAAAAGTTTTGAATACCTACTAAACTCAGGGCAAACGGAGTGATACAAAAGTTTCTGCTGACTTTTACACCCGTGGAGAGCAACATAAATACACATAAATGGCACATTGTCATGTGATTACACACCAAGAGTGAGAGGAGATTGATAGTAAAGGAAGATGAAATGCTATCCAAAGCCTAATGCCTGGAAATAATCAATTATTCGCGTCTCTTAACTGGCTGAAATGTTCTTAAAATGAAATTAAAAGGTATTTGGTCTCACAAACTGTTATATTCAAATACACATTATGGAGGGACAAACACAGGTACACATCCTTCATTCATATCATGTAAGTGGCAGTTTGTTTGGCTGTTGAAGCATAAAGACAGTGTGGAAGTCTTACACAGCCTGCTGCCATCTGCAACATACATTTAAAAATACTGTCAGTATACTAAGCAGTCAGCTGAACGAAGATTGCAGTTAGAGAGGAGTTCAGTCCTCATTTGAACTACGTAAAGCTCAACTTAAAAGTCACTTTAAGCCAGTCCTAAAAAAAAGATCACTGGCAGAAGCTGGAATGCAATGAATGCACAATATTAATGCAGATGGCATACAGTTTTGGGAGGAAGAGCCCATGATGCACTGAGTTAGTGTGTGTAAAGCATGAAGGCATTCCCTTACATTATAAGAATATTACTAAACAAGAAAAGGCAAGAACAGGTGTTATAGTACATCTAAAGTCCTTGAGAAGAGGAGAAAAGTATTGTTACATTAACCTTATAAAAAAAGAAAAAAGAAAAAGAAAAAAGTCAGTGGACTCCCAGAAAAAGGAAAAAACTAATTTTCAGATACACTTTGGTCCACAGTGTCTAACTATTCCCAACAATTATTATTCCTACATCTGTAACCAGCTTGTGAGCCTCACACACTTCTCTATGAGCCATAACAAATGTAACTTTACATTTAAAAATGGAAAAAGAAGAAGAAGAAAAAAAAAAATCACACATTTCCAAATTATCAAAAGGAATACAAAACAGAAAAAAGATAATAAGTAAACAAGCAATTTGTATTTACATTACATACACGTTACGCAACAGAACTCATGTCGTTCATCCATGACAGTCACTTCTAATTCTGATAGTCACGTTGCTGTGTTTGCACCCCTCTGTCCTGTTTGTATGACGTCTGAAGGTTGGAAAGCGAGTCTGCCAGCTTTTAAAACCATTAGAGCCGCAGAATGAGAAAGAACGCGTGGTGTCTGGCTCCCTCTGGTGGAATTTTGGTGAAACGACATGAGACGAGGGCCGCGGCGCTCAGAGGTTATCCCCTGGCTGATACTGAGGCTCAGTGGCAGTGAAGTAGTCCTCCAAAAAGGCTTGCAAGTACTCAAAGGTGGGCCTCTCCTCTGGGTCTTTCTTCCAGCACTGTAGCATTAGCTCATGCAGGGACGAGGGGCAGTCCTGGGGGCACGGCATCCGGTAGCCTCGCTCCACTTGCTCCAGCACCTCACGGTTGTTCATGCCTGAACAAAGGTGCACATAGAGTGAGAGTTTAGGGCTGTGCTGCCATCAAATCACCAAGTTTGCAAGCAGTCTTTCTGTGCCGTTTCCATAAGTTGCATTACTCTAGACTTTGCTTTTGAGTTTCAGTATCGTGGAACAGATTAGTAGATGACTTCCTGCACCTACTATTGGTTGCAATGTGACATTAAGATGGGGGTAATAGTCGATTAGCATAAAAATGTGAACAGTCAAGGCGGGAAAGAGCCTTCCGTTTTGATCTGAACTGAAGAAATAGTGCTTTGCATAGAAGTGGTGTCGCCTTAAGCCTTACACTGGAAACTGAAAACATCGCAGCAATCATCGCATAGACACTAGACAGCTTATATAAAGGTTAAAATGGAATTATAATGTCAGTGAAACTGGAACAATTCACATTCATTAGCTTGGAACATTTCTATGTATAATGCAAAATGCAGTGTGCATTATGCAACTAACTACTGCTTTTTTTCCTTTTAAATCATGCAAAGTCTCGTGTCACAGCCTGCATTAACTGAATGCAGCCGTTTGATTGGTTATGAGAGGTGATTACATAACCCTCAAGCTCAGCACTCTCACCTGGATAGGGCACTCTGCCCTTGGTCACCAGCTCTGTCAGCAGGATACCAAATGACCACACGTCTGACTTGATGGTGAATTTCCCGTAGAGGGCAGCCTCAGGAGCGGTCCACTTTATGGGAAACTTCGCACCTAAAATAAATTCAGGTGATATTAATTTCACAAACATTCTCAAACTTTTATTATTTTGCTTCTGCATCCCTCCAGATATACACAAAGATACACAGCAGCGGCTTCCACCAAAACCTAGACTAAAGTAGGTCAGTCTTCACTGTACTGATTTTTTTCCCTTCACTGATTTGATTAGTGCAGGCACATAAGGACATCATTACATCCCACCAGGGAAATAACGGAACCATTCCATTATCCATCTCCGTGTCAGTTTGCACTTGGCCCGAGTCGAGCAAGTAAACATTTCATTTCTACCAAATGAGTGACTGAACATGTTGACAGAGTGACTAACAGAGCTTGAAGTCCTCCTGGTGTGGTTCACGTCTGACTCAAGGGGGAAACAACACTGGAGTGAATCAGGTTTTGGCTGCTTCCTCATCATCCTTCAAACAATAATCGCAGCGGCATATTTTCGTGTAAAACAAGTGCCCTTTTAAGAGGTCTCAAGTCCGGCACCGTACCCCTATATAAACACATCTTTGGTTGTCTTTGCGCTAACCACACGTGCATCCGCTTTCCAGTGGTTCCATCAAGACAAATTCTTGCTCAAAAAGAAAAGCAGCATGCTCTAAGTGCTCATGTTGTGACATGAGTCTGTCAGTAACAGCATTTTAAGGTGAAGAGGTCAGGGGTCAACATCAGGAAAGTTTAAGTTTTGTATCCATGAAATTCATTTTGGTTAAAGCAATGTCTTCTGAAGTTACAGAAACACAAATGTGTGTGTGTTCGTGTGTGAAACTGGATGGAATAAGCCCTTTTGCCAAGCCACCAACATTTTTCCTCTGATGGCAGTTTACAGGGAACTTAATGAATCCTACAGAAACAGAGTTAGACAAAACATGTGCAAGCTTCTAATCTTTTTCCCAGTAGTAGTCAATAATTGACCTGACTCACTGAAACATAAGAAATCTAGTAGAAAACCACCACTGGACAACTTTGCTACTGAACAGACATTTCTCAAGCACGGTCTGTAGTCATATATTGTCTTTATTACAATGTCTAAGCAACATAAACACAAAGAAAGTTTAAGTGTGTACTCACACCAGGTGATCCATAGATCTCATCTTAGTTCATCAGCACATAGATCACAGGTGTGTGTACTATATCAGCATTTTCAAACGTGACTGAATTATTACTCAATTCTGACACAAAATCTGCTGCTCATCTTTGAAAGTACGCACAAATACAATAAATTCTACATTTACAGGGACAGGAAGTTTTTTCAGTTTGGAAGTTTGGAACCTATGTTGCAGTTTCTGTACTGTGTGTTGTTGCAACGTCATTTTAATTCATTTGTGGTTTAAACAAGCAGGAAGGCATTAGCAATGGATTCATGAAAATGTGTTGGAGTGAAGCCTACCTTGTCTTGCTGTGTATTCGTTGTCCTCGATGAGTCTAGCCAGACCAAAGTCAGCAATCTTGCACACCAGGCTGTCTCCGACTAGGATGTTGGCAGATCTTAGGTCTCTGTGGATGTAGTTCATCCTCTCGATATAAGCCATGCCCGCCGCCACCTGGGAAATTGAGGGGTTTTTTTTCCTACTGAACATCATCTCAATATATAGCTTCAAGGTCATTAAATCTGTGCTAAGCAAGATTTACACAAATGTTATCACCCTAAAAAAGTGGGACAGCAAAAGTGAAGCATCTCTCTAAACTGAAAGCCCACAGATTTGCTTTATATACATTTACTTTCTCAGTAAACAACATGAATCACGTGGAATTTGTGCAAAGTGTGTGAAAAATTGGGAAATCACCAAAACAACAGACTTTAAACGAGCAGTGCTGAGATTAAATGACTAAACTGGGAACAGTTGGAGATGATTAAAGTCAGTTAAGCTCTTAAAGGAAACATCTTTCCCTGGGAACATGTTTTCTGAGCATCAAGATTTTCACACCTGAGCCGCCATGTCCACTAGATTTGGCAGTTTGAGGCCTCGACCTTCGCCGTCCTTCAGGAAATCAAGCAAACTCCCTGAAAAGATAAGAAAAAAAAATACAGTCAGGATATCAGGCTTTTGTTTTCTTGGGCTGCCACATCATTACAAGCATCACGTTGTGCTAATGTTGCATCAGTTCTGGGATTTCTGCCTAGAATGTTACATCTTAGTGAGATGTTTGTTAGGTATTGCTGTGGTAACTGAAAATCTGTTTTTCCATCGCAAATGCATCCTGCCCAGCAGTCACAATGTGAAATAAACTTCATTTGCTATACAGCAAACTGGGAGACATACTCTACATCCTATGCAGATGCAGACTTATATATATATATATATATATATATATATATAATGCAACATTATTTAGGTGCATGCATGCATGCATGCATGCAATGATGACACTGTTAAAGCAGCCTCTACCTTTGCTCATGTACTCTGTGACTATATAGATGGGTTCCTCGGACACCACAGCATAGAGCTGCACCAGCTTATCGTGTCGGAGCTTCTTCATTATCTGAGCTTCCTCCAGGAAGGACTCAGGTGACATCGTGCCGGGCTTAAGAGTCTTCACTGCCACCTTGGTGGTGCCATTCCACGTACCTGAGAAGAAAAACCCCAAAATGTGACATTCAGTCTAATTAAAAGAAAAAACGAACAGGCCATGCTTCTTTTAACTTAATCTGTAGAACACATAACTAGAAACAAATACTGAAAGTTGCATTAAGTGTATCAGAGTATGACATAACAGATTGTAATTAAAACTGAGGTTTGCATGTATTTTCTGGGTTTGCTTCAGGAGCTCCAACAGTCCAAATACATGCATTGGCTGTCTCTCTCTGTACCAAGAGTGCACACCGCCTATCAACCAGTCACAGCTGGGACAGACTCCAAGCTTCCCCGTTAACCTGAGTTGGTTAAGCGGTTAAGAGCCTGCACAGATGGATACATTTTTTTTTTAATGGGAGAAATGAATCAAAATGTTATTTTAATGCTGATGAATTAGATAAAGCTAGAAATATTCTATTAACTTGCTTTTGTTTTTCCCAGGGTTCCCAGGGTTTAACAATCCAAGCCCTCCCCAAAATCTTAAATCCACTCAGAAATCACAACAAGTTCAAAAATGGCATGGAATTTTTGGAATTTGAGGAATAAGATACACACCCATCCAGACTTCTCCAAACTGGCCATTGCCGAGGCGTTTAATAAGCTGCAGCGACTCCCGCGGGATCTCCCACACGTCTTTGGTTTTGACAGACAGGTCGGTCAGACGAGGCATGCCTTTGTGGCACGGCACGATCAGTCTGCAGCACAGGCCTGCAGCCCTGGCTGAAATGACCGTGCAATTTGGGGTCACATGAGAAATGTGGAAGTGTAAAAGAAGGAAAAAAAAATCCCACACACAATATACCATTAAGATGTTTTTGTACACACTGAGCAGCAGAGTCTCACCCGAGTAGTGCTGCACTAGCTGCTGGAGTGTCTCAAACTGGGCTCTGGTGGTGATGTAGTAGCCTCCATTATCCAGTTTGCGGATTTTATAGTGTTTAACGTGATCTCCCTTCACGTCATCCCAGTCCTGGATGGAGAGAGAGTAGGCTCCTAGAACAGATTGGTTGTGATGTTATTTTAAGTTATTCAATCTTTAGTCTGACGGCTTATTCTAGGTTTATCCATAAATAATTTGCTTCTACTTACTTTCACTTTAATGTGCTCCTTTACTTATGTACAAACACCTGTCAGTTTTCCTAAAGTTTAAAAGCGTTCAAACAGTCACCATCTCGTTTTGAGTACCTTTAGTTGTTTCGCTCTCACGGATCAGGAAAGTGCCTCTGGCGTTGCTGTTGGAGAGCAGTTGCCTCTCTGCGTCCTTTCGACCCAATTTACCAAAATACCAGCTGAAGGAAGGAGGAGAAATGGAAAAAAAGATGTGGGAAATTTGTTTTCAGTGCTTTCCTAAATATTCTATTTGTACTGTGCGTGCAACCATGTCACATCTAACAAAGGCAATGAGCTGACTTCTGAAATATTTATGCTCTCTGGTGATGAAGATGCCGTGCCTCGGAGACCCGTGGAGGCTGTGTGTGAGAGCGTGTGCTCAAATGAAAAAGTTTCACTCACTCCTCGGCTTGGATGGAGTCCACGGGAGCTACGTAATTGCTGGGAATGTATCCAGTTCCACCTGTAGTGAGAGAACGAGCCTCCCACCAGTCTCCCTCGCTGAAAAATGAGAGGGTGGATTTAACAGAGAGCTAGATCACCATTTACTCATCGTGTAAACAGAGTGGATGCACTACATTTAAGGAAATAAACGCACTGTTCTTAATACTCTGAATGCTGTTGTTTTAGTGCAAATCTAAGACAAAGCAGTTGTAATGTAGAGACCCCCGTGCATGACCACCCTTATGTGATTCAACCATTCTGAAATTATAATTATAAACTCAATTTTTGAATTCATAAATTTGACTACAGCTGAAGCTCTTCATTCGCAACTATGATTTGAGTGCTTTATAATTTTCAGGACAACGTTCGGACAGTCTGCTCATTTGTCGCCACGGGGCGATCGTGGCTCAAGAGTTGGGAGTTCGTCTTGTAATCGGAAGGTTGCCGGTTCGAGCCCCGGCTTGGACAGTCTCGGTCGTTGTGTCCTTGGGCAAGACGCTTCACCCGTTGCCTACTGGTGGTGGTCAGAGGGCCCGGTGGCGCCAGTGTCCGGCAGCCTCGCCTCTGTCAGTGCGCCCCAGGGTGGCTGTGGCTACAATATAGCTTGCCATCACCTGTGTGTGAATGGGTGGATGACTGGATATGTAAAGCGCTTTGGGGTCCTTAAGGACTAGTAAAGCGCTATATAAATACAGGCCATTTACAAATGCGCTTCTTATATCCTAAATAATATCCAGTCGGAATCACCTCCAACCTTGTGCAAATATATATGAATATTATTTATATATAAATATGTAAATGTTCTAGCAATAGCTTGTTGGTTCCCCTTTGTTATAGACCATTTCCTGGTTTAAAAAAAGAATTACACTCGTTGCCACTTTATTAGATACACCTTTCAACTGCTTTCTATCACACATATTTAATCAGCAAATCACGTTGCAGCAACTCGGTGCATTTAGGTATGTAGACGTGGTCTTGACCACCTGTTGATGCTCAAACTGAGCATCAGAACGGGGAGGAAAGGGGATTTAAGTGACGCTGAACGAGGCATGGTTGCTGGTGTCAGTTTCCCGCACAACCAGGATTTACAGAGAATGGTTTGAACGGGAAAATGCCTTGTTGATGCCAGAGGTCAGAAGAGAAGGGACAGACATCTGGTGTAAACAACGCGGATCTACTTTAGGTTAGTGGTGGGCTAGTGTTTAGGCTCCTAAACACTAAATGCGCATTGTTTAAGCGCCATATTTGACATGCTGCTTTTAGCAGGATAATGTCTGGTGTCACAAAGCTCATATTACCTCAAACTGGCTCTCGAACACGAGTTCACTGTACTCAAATGGCCTCCACGGTCACCACATCTCAGTCCAATATAGCACCTTTGGGATGTGGTATAACGGGAAATTCACATCATGGATGTGCAGCCAACAAATCTGCAAGAACTGTGTCATGCTGTCATGTAAATATGGACCAAAGTCTCTGCAGCACTTTGATGAATCTATGTCACAATGAATTAAGGCAGTTCTGAAGGTGCACCTAATGAAGTGGCTGGTGAGTGTATGTTTCCAGCAGGACCTCCCATTCAGTTTGGAGTTAGGGACTGAAGTTTGACTGTCATGAGTAGCTGAGATAACTGGTTGGATTTAGGGGAAATGCTTGGTTTGGATTCAGCGAAAGAGAAAACACAAAATGACAGGGAGACAGAACAGAGGCTCTCAGATGTCAGTCAGCATTTACCATGGGAAACGCCCACGCACAGCCCGCAAGTATGGTCTGACTGTTTAATTCTCCTATAAAGATGCGATAAAGCAACAAAAACCACTGTAGTTACACAAAAAGTGAGGAGAATCCAAGAACCTCACAGACCCGGTTAAGTCTGTCAGATTGGTGCCGGTGTAACGTTTGTTACAGCCGGACCCGAGAAGGAAAACACAACCACCACCCTTTTGGTGCTGTCATGCAGATGTTTTCACACTTACGTGCTGTTGAGGATCTGGAACCTCTCCCCTTTTCTGAAGCTGAGGTCATCCTCGGTCCTGGCTTCATAATCATAAAGGGCCACAAAGAGAGTCACCCCTGCCGCAAAACAAAAATGTTGCATGTGGCGGTTATGTGGCTGAAATATTATGGCGGTGGGTTTTTCATTCCATTTTTACTGTAGGGTTCGTTCATCTGTCTAACACATGGGGCTTATGTAACGGCAATAAATATTACTGCCTTCTTTGTTTATTCTTTACACCCCATCTGCTGCATTATTTTCACCTTAGAAACAAAACAAATTTCTACTCTTTTATCTTTCCAAACATCTCACTAGCAGCGCTAACTTAAAAAGAATTGTGGGAGTTTTTCGCTTATAGAAATTTTAAATAAAAGCAACAATTTGGAGACTCTTGAGATGTTTCAGCGCAGTTTGTGATTTATGGTGATGTTTTACTTTTAAGGACTTGTGTGGGACATTTTATTTTTTCAAATAAAGTAAAACATTCATATTAAAAAGCTAATTGCTACAGGTGTGACACAAAGCTTAGCTTACAGAAGCAAACTCTTTGCCACTAACTGATTTGGATTTATGTCCTGATACCTTAATGACAGCTGTATGATCTCAGTTTAACAAGAAAGGAGCACTTAGACTCTAAAAAGGCAAAAAATATAAGAAAAAAAGTTGATGGGGTAAAAAAAGATTTCACAAAAACAACTTTTGTTATTAACTGACTTGTGATGCCTACTTAACTAACATAAAACTGCAGACCTAACGAGCAAATATAGATACTACTTGGTGCTATCATGGTCTAGATGAGGGAAGCCAATCAAAAATCTGCCAGTATCTGTTAATAAGCCTAAAACTGTAAGTGTTCATTTTCTGATTTGATCTAAATCCTCCAAGCTGCAATCCTAATGTCGACCAAATCTGCACACTGTCCGTTGAGGTCATTGCAGATCAGATCAAGTTTCGGCTCTACATCTGTTATAGTTTCAGTTTCTTACCCCTCAAGTCTTCACTGTACAAATTAGACATGCATTTTATTTCTCATTCCCCCTCTTAGAGTAGTTTCTTGTTCATGCGAGCTGGCGACGGCAATTTCAAAGATGTTGGTTTTATTCAACCGCAAAAAGGGTTCAAAGTGCGTCACAGACATCAAAGCAAGGATGGTGGCGATTTATAAATCTGATGATACGAAGCTTTCAAATTTCGAGCAAAAGAGTGTAAAGCTTATTTCTCCCCATTTGAAGCGCTCTTCAGCAAAAAGTCTGCTCTCTGTCAATGTTCTTCACAGGGAACTGGTCATAATTTAGGGCATTTCTTTTCATTTTGAGGCTCTACTACGCACAAGAGAAGGCTCACTTATTCATTTAGTAAACGGCACACAAGCCACGAACTTCACCCGTTATTTAAGTTGAGCCTGTAATTCTGAGAACAGAAAGCTGACAAGCCAACATTGTTAATGCAAATCTCTAATCAGCCAGTCACATGGCAGTAAGTCTGTGCATTTAGGCCTGTACGCATGGTCAAGATGACCTGCTGAAGTTCAAACTGAAGGGTCATTTAAGTGACTTTGACTTTAAGTGACTTTGAATACGACACGGTGGTTGGCGCCAGATGGGCTGGTCACAGTGTTTCAGAAACAGCTGACCTGATGGGATTTTCCCCACACAACCATCTCTAGGGTTTGCAGAGAATGGCCCGGAAAAGAGAAAATATACAGTGAGTGTCAGTTCTCGGGGTGAAAATGTCTTGATGATGCCAGAGGTCAGAGGAGAACAGCCAGACTGCTTTGAGCTGACGAGAAAACGACACTAACTCATAAAGCCACCTGGCTCTGTGAGCACACAACAACATGAAAGAATGGATCCATCCTACCCGGCAGCTAGCAGCCTTCAGAGACATTTTTAGACAGTTTAAATTAGACATTTTATTTGTAATTTGACCCATTACTTAACAGCATGTAAGTTTATCTTCCAACAGGGTACTGAGTGAATTTATTCCGGGCAACCAAATTCATATCATTTTTAAAATGTGATATTTTCTATTCATGTATTTTTCAGGTTCAAATTATTTTCAAATTATGCAAATGTTCCGTTTATTTGCAGTTTTTATGCACATTAGCCCTTTAAAAGGTGACAAATATTTTTAAGACATGTAAAGTAGCTCACATGCATTCACAGTCTAATATTACCTGTGCCTCCCCGAGACCGAAGGGTCCCAGACTGCGAGGACGTGTGGACTCCTCCGAACACAGTGACTCCCTGCGAGGCTGCGCTGTGGAAGTTGTTGTAGTTGGGAATGGTGGTGACCCCAAAGCTGGGGTAGTGCTGCGGAGTGGGGTCGGACCCATAGCGGTAGCCCGAGTTGTGCGAAAGGCTGGTCTCCCGGTCATCAGTGAGTTTTGCTGCTTCTTTATCCTTACATTGGACACAGCCCATTCTCTACTGTCTGTGGGTGGAGAGAGAAGGAGAGCGAGATGGAATTAGCACTTAGGTAAAATAATAGCTCAAAAGCCGTCTCCACTGGGGAAATTATGATTCAATATTCCCATTATTTCAGAGCTTCCTTTGAGAGCTCCACAGAGTCTTCTGAAAAATCTTTCAATTAGGTTGAAATTAAACACGACGCTTTAAAAGATGCATTACTAATTAAATGGAGCAACACAATGCACCACAGCTGTATGTGCTCGGTAAATATGACCGCTGCATATGTACGCTCGCATTAATGCTTTATGCTGAGAATATCCAGTTAAACTGGCCGTAAAACAATTTAATGGCCCTACTTATCACAGTTTACTTTTCCATCTGATTGCATGACCACACTGAGGAGAAGAGTCTACACCGAGCCACTGACTTTACAAGAGAGCATTTACTTTATTTTTGTTTGCTTTACAAGGAGCCACGCACACGCGCGCTGATGGAACATTTGTCCTCACTAAAGCAAAGATAAACCAGTTTTTGAAATGAGGGACACAGCCTGCTTTCTGCTTTGTCAATTAAAAAGAGCCTTACCGTCTTTGCAGACCCAGTTAAGTTAATGAACATTTCGGCTCGCCGTGTCCCACTCCCCAACCCCCCCTTTAAGCCCTGGAAGCTCGTGAAACCGGTTCAGCATGTCTAAGAAGAGGGCCCCGGCAGCAGCGCTGTCTTTCAATGGCATAAGCAGGCAGCTGACTTCAGAGGCAGCTAATTGGAAACATACTTGTTTACAGTGTCGGTGAATGGAGAGAGGTGGTGTTCGGAACAAAAGTCAACACTCGAGGACAAGGGAAATCATCCCAGTGCTCTTTACCCCAGCTGTATAACCCCCCAAAAAGCACAATCTGCCTTTATACACCAGGTAATGTTGCTAATATTGGAAAATAAGCACGTCTTTCTAAGGAAACTATTTTCCAAGCAGAAAACAAGCAGGAACCAAAGGCTTGTTTTTGAAGGACTGGTGCTTAATGCTTACAAGCAAAGCTACACAGTATAAGATCAAAGCCCTTCAGGCCTGTTTTACATTTACTAGCAAGAAACTTTAATGCCTGCACAGGCAAAAAGTGCAAACAGATGTGTCACTTGCTGCACAGTGGGAGAAAATGCTGCAGAATGTAACAAGTCAAGCACTATATGTAGATGAGGAGAAAATGCATGAACGTATCAGATGAACGGGAAATAATGCCCTCTTTGAGAAGAGGTCACATGATGGTGCAGTGTCAAAATCTTGAAATGATTATTGTTGTTGCAAAGTTGCAAAACACCAAAAGTGGTTTTCAAGTGTAAGTTGTTGTAAACCCATCAATGCTTATCTATTATACTTCAGAGAGAGCAGTTTGGTCCAGAAGAAGCTAAGCCTGAGGTCAGATTTCTCTGAAAGATCACGTTACATCTGATGATTAACCAGCTAGAAAAACGAATTCTGCTGCATAAAATTGTATTCATTCATTCATTCATTCGACAAGAAAAATCCTTGCTGTGTTGCCTGCATGGAAAAAGTACCAAGAGGGACTCTGACACCAAAAACGGAGTTTTCCTTCTGTATACAGGATTTCATTATTGCCACACTATACAGCTTAGCTCCAGTTTGCTTAAGTAACAAAAGGACGTAACTGCTGCAGAGAGACCGACATCACTGTGATTCATTACTGCCAATAAAACCCCATAAAATACGCAGAAGAAGAAACGAGCCCAGCAGCATTACAGTATAAGCTCTGACCGAAGCAGAGACCGCAGACAGAAATACAAGAAGCACGGCTGCTGTTGCGTCTCCAATAATCCTTCAGATATAAAATAATCTGTTTTGACATCTATATTTATATCTCCAATCTTCTGGTATTTACAGCACGTTGCTGTACAGCTGATATATTTAAATGTAAAAATCCTATATATGAATGGCTCGCTATTTCTAATAAGCAAATGCATAAGATTAGTCAAAAGAGAACTTAGCCAACCTTGAACAAATCAAAGCAATATTCAAAGCGAATACGTGGACTTTTCAGTGCTTCCACACTTGGTTTTGCTGTTTGTTTTATCTTTTTTTGCTGGACAAAGCAAGTAAATGAAGACTTCAGGATGTTGTGATGGGTATTTTCTGACTTTTTAATCGACATCTGAGAACTGATATAAAACAAAAAGGGGATCCGCTCTAACAATTCACTGAGGAGAAGAAGCAGCAGTACTACAAACACAGCAGAATGAATTGATTTTCCACAGTTGAGTTCAAAACGTGTCTTTTCAACATGTTGCAGTGATTTCATAAGTATCGGGACAGCTGACAGTAACCAAAGACGGCCTCCAAACCAAGTTAACACTGGGTGGCGATGAGTGTGAATTCATCACAAAAACCACAAATCCAGTACTGGTACTCTGCTTGGGACATTACAGTATTTATTTGGCCAGGAAAGCTATGAATGTACAGTTATGTGAAAACGTTTTGTCCATATAACTGAAGCATTCAGGTGTGTGGGTAATGCAATGCCACAGTGGATGTCCCAGTAAATTCAGCCCAAGGTCAGACTCTTCAATGGTCGGAGAAACTGCAAAAAAAACCAAAAGACTCTGCAGGCCTCAGTTAGCTATTAAATATTAAAGTTCATGACTGTAAAGTTAGAAAAAGACTGAATGAGTATGGCTTGTTTGGAAGGGTTGCCAGGAAAAAGCCTCTTCTCTCTAAAAAGGACATGACAGCACAGCTTACGTTTGCAAAGTTGAATCTGAACAAACTACAAAATGTCTAAAACAGAAGTGGTCTCATCTGTCTAAAGGACAGTAGAGATGTTTGGCTATAACACACAGAGCCATGTTTGGAGATACGAGGCGTACCAGCACAAACACCAACTGTCAAGCACGGTGGGGGAGGGGGGGTGATTTGGGCTTGTTTTGCAGCCAGAGGACCTGGGCACCTTGCAGTCACTGATTCGACCATGAACTTCTCTGCATATCAAAGTATTCTAAAGTTAAATGTGAGGCCATCTGTCTGACAGCTAAAGCTTGGCCATTTTGGTCAAAGTGTTGTAACGGCCCAGTCGAAGTCCAGACCTCAGTCTGACTGAAATGCCGTGGTGGGACCTTAAGGCAGCTGAGCATAAACAAATGTCTAAAAACCTCAATGAACTGAACCATCTTTGAAAAGAAAATTGAGCAAAAATTCCACCGCAATGATGTAAGAAAGTGAGTCATACAGAAAACGTCTGCTTCAAGTTATAACTTCTAAAGGTTGTTCTACTACAAACTATGAGGGAATCATGAGGGTACTTCGTTTTAGAACTTGGAACTATCACATGACTGTATTTAACAAGACCGTGCCCGAAGTCCACGCGAATGACAGAGGTGACCTGAGGTAGTCAGGCATTGAAAATAAAAATAAATTCTTATGAATACACAACAGAGAGAAAAACAATATCAAGGCCACGAATGTTAACTTCCCATAGTTACTGCATTTCTTTACTCACCTTCCCCGTCGATACAAAAACCTCTAAACGTGGCGTTAATAAGACTAACGTAGCACCAGAATATATTAACTGAGCAGGTGAAGTCTGATTTCTGGTGGATTTTCTCTTCAACTCAAGTGATTGAAATAGCACTGCCTCCACTCCTGCAGGGATCAGAGTAAATGAGGGGAAATCTCATGTCGTTGTGCTGCCTGTGGGGATTATGAAAATCTTGCTCTTCAAGTTAAAAAGACTAGGGACTACTGTAGCTTTAGCATACATTTACCATTCAGCTGCACAGAATCTATAACATTTTGCCTTAATATAGTATTCATACATGTTCCCTGTGTGGTCTTTTTATTGCACAGTGTGTATTTGTAAACATTAAATCATGTCTGTGTTGCAATTCCAATTAATAATCTCATATTTACAAGATAAAGAATCCTTTAGATGAGTCGGTGAATCAGCAGCTTTTCACATTTACACGGTAATTCAATAAGAGTTTCACGAGCGTTCATCATAGATACATTTCTGCTCTCCGGTTACACACGAGTCAACACTACGTATGAGATCACAACATAAGTTTTAGATTGGTGCTCTCGCTGCATTTCATCATGGTGGAGATGGACACAGACACACGCAAGTCTACTCAAACCCCCCACACCAAACCAGCAGATGATGGCGTCAAAGCCTCGGGGCTTGTTCCCTTTCATGGCACAGCCTGGGTATTGCATGACCACCTCAGCCTCTGCAATAGCAATCATCACGCTATTTTCAGACCCAAATGAGCAGCTTGCTGTAGAGAGAATGACAATGGCGTGATCAGGAAGGTCCTTCGGGGACAAGATTGCAATGTGCTGTAAGAGTTAATTCAAAAGCCAAAGAGAAGGAAAAGGTGAGAGGCCTCAAGTTTTTCACCAAAAACGTGTTAAAACGTTTTTGCGACATACCGTTTACCATCAGCTGTAAATTGGACTGAAACCAACTCCTTTTAGAGCAAGCCTCAAGTGGACAATAAATTGCAGTTTTCTGCTGTTGGTGTTTTTGGTTTAATTTTTTAATTTTCACAAAATCTGTGTTAAAATGTTGAGGTTTTTTTTTTTTTTTTTAAAGAAGCTGACCATAAATGAGGTGTTCATGGAACATACGTAAACTGAAACATCAAAAAATGTGAGGAATTTTAGGAATATCTGTGAATATCGCTGCAGGACACCCTCTGCAGTGACTTCAATCACGCCTACCACCACAGGTAAATCCACAACCTGTTTTTAGTAACTATCGGCTTTCACACTATTTTATCAAATGCACCACTGAACAAGCAGGTTTTTTTGAATGGGTACCGAACACACAGCAACGGGGTCAGCTTTACTTTATCTGTCACAACCGCTCGGCTCAACTGGAAATTAATTTACCCAAATGAAAGCCTTTATTTTGATGCCGCACAAGCTCGAGTGTTAATCATCCATAACAACAGTCATAGCGCTGGAGGCCATAATGAGATAGTGGGTCATTTGGAGTAAAGCTGCAATCAATATACTATATTAAAAGGACAGACATGTCAGGGTCGCACAGACTAACTGATGGATTTACCAGGAGAGACTCAGTCAGGCCTGAAAAACAAATATATCTGCAGTCTGATTTGTGTTACGAGCAAGAACAAAAAAGATAATTGGATGTGTAAGACTAAAAAAAAAAAGAAAAAAAAAAAAGACTGAAATTCCCTAAACAGCAACAATTATTTCATTAAGAATTACGTAAGAATGAGTGTAACATCTGCAGCTTCTAAAAAGGGAACATCTGACGATTTCCTAAGTGTTACAAGATTATGAAATATGTATCTATCTGTGCATAACTTTGAGCTCAGGGAAAGTATGTAACATTACGTGCAACTGACTGACTTCAGCAAGTCCTTCAATCATTTCATCATTTTAAGTAATTTTTATGTTTTTAGATTTTTCTTAAAATGCTGTAACCTTATTAATCTCTCACTCTCTGGAGATCAATAAAGTCTTAATGCTACAATATAAAATAATCATACAAGTCTGCAGAGTAATTGCTACATGTGAACCTAATGGTAACAAGTTTACAAGATATTATTTCAGCTTAGAAAAACAAATTGAAACGTGGCTTTGACTAATAAACTGTGGAAATTATGGTCAATTGAGCATTACATCTGGCAATGTTGTGATAATTTAACCTCTACGAACTAACAAATCCCTCCAGAATACAGTCTTTCCTCAGTCTATTTTGCAATTCAACACATCTTCTTAAAAGGTATCCTGTTTAATTTGAAGTGTGGGGGTCCTTTTACACTCAGATCACTGACAAGGCACAAAACAAGGTCAAACTTCCCACATGCCTCCCACTGGCATCGCACTCACTGTGACCTTATTCAACTCCATAATTCAACGTTCTGATCATGGAACAAAGACGAGACCAACGAACCAACAGAGGATCTTTTTTTTTCCTTTTTAAAAAAGCTGTGTGACATTTGAATGCACGTGAAACCCACTGTTATGTTTGCTGGATTTGGTACAACGCTTACAATCTCCTCCTTATGGCTGCCATTCTCTGAATAGTTACAACATTTGCTTGTGTCAGACAACCGAGTTCATTCAGTGTATCAACAACGAGACAATGGCCACTTTTCACTCTGCTACAAGATTATGAGCACAATGAAACACTGTTAAAGCTTTCAAAGCATTCTTCGTGTGCTGAATGAAAAGAGCTAGTTATAAAACACGCAGCTGAGATTCATACAGTACGTGCGTGTGGGTTTAAGCCTAGCTGTGTTTTAGTGTCACAGTGTCTATACTTGAGCTTCTTGAGTCATGTTGTTAAATCACCGATCCCATTGTGTATGTCTATTCAGTCAGCGAGACCAGTGCAGACTAGGTGAACACTTTCCAAACAGGAAAAAAGTGTTATCCAGATACCAGAGCAGATTCTTGCTGCTTCTGCCTGACAGTCTGAACTGAGGGTTTAAATGATTCTTTCCAAATCTTGTGCCAGTGGAGGGTAATGGTCGATGCAAGAATCCAGTGGAAATCATGATGAGGTGGGTTTACAGGAACGGAGGATGGAAGGTTTCTGGCAGAACTAAAAATCGCACTTGAGTTGATGGAAAGTGTAAAACACTGGCACGAGCCACATGGCGCACAAGTGCTGGACGCAGATCTACAACGATAAGCCAATTAGCAGATGCAACCCCCCCCCCCCAAAAAAAGAAATAAATTGCAACTTGTTTGATTTATTTATATTATTAATAAAAAAAATGCTAAAAATGTGTGGCTGTTTTACACTTTTCATTAATTTAGTGCCCAAAACATCAGAATACAATAAAATATACCCACTGCAATTTCCATCAATGAAACCTGATTTTTTTCAGACCCCCAAACAACTAAGTCTTCCTAAATATTTAGAATAATGGAAAATGCTCACATTTTAGAAACTAGAAAAATATCTTCAAATGTGGCTTAATGATGATTTTACAGTTAAGTGCTAATTTATTTTCTGCTGCTTGACAGATTAATTTTACAATGATAATCATCACAGTAGATGTCAAAACAAACCAACACCTTCCAAAAATCTTAAAAACCAACAAAATGGTCTTAAACTAAAGTTATCAACTGAGCCTTATTTTGAAAAGCATCTGCATTTCTTTATAACTTATTTCAGGTTTGGCAGATTATGCGCCAGCAGGTTGAACTGTATAAGGGAGAGAGAGCCTGAAGGGGGAAAAGTGCACGGTCCACGAAGCACAACATCCAACTCCTTTCATTCAAATTTAATACATACCATGCACACCAATTGTGCACTCATTCATAGGCAGGCTGAACTCAGGCCTTCAGGGAGCTGACTGAACAATTTAACAACCAAAACAATAACTGCTGACTAACTTATTGCACATGGGTAACAGTGGGGTTAGCTCACACATATCATCCCCAGTGTTTGCTCACAAGATGGATGGCTGCACCTCCAGACACATGAGATAACCCGACTGGAACAGCTTTAATTGGATGTTTAGCAGCGTGGCAATGCAATTAACTCAAAGCATATGATAATTCCTGTGGAGGTAAACAATTAAGAGGCTGTCCGAAGGCCAGCCTGGCGTTTATTAGGTGTGTGTGTGTGTGCATGGCCTCAGTGGTCAGCTCTGTTCTGCAGCGCATCCATCCCTGCTGCAACACAAGAGCCCCCTCTCCAGAATCACTGCAAAACATCATCCACAGTCACCATCACCGCTCTCCCAGTCTTTTCCTCAACGAGGGCAATGTTTACGCAAACCACACAAAGCCAGCCCTCCGAGGAAGACTCGGAGTAAAGATTGGCGTGACTGCAGCCACTCAAAATGTGTTATTTATCTCATCTGCTCTCTCTGCCTCTCTCCCTCTCGAGATGAATTCAACTCGCTTTCCACAGCGCAAAATAGGGGACAAGGCTGGCGCACCAATTGAAATTCAACAGAAGAAAAAGAAAAGCCCGCTCACCGCAGAAAAATCAAATTAATCCATCGGAGTTTCCAGAGGGAGCTTCGTGGAGGAAATTCGCGGTCGTCTTTCTTCTCTGTCAGTGTTTTTCCTCCGCACAGACAGAGAATAGCGGTGGGAGACCCGTCCCTGCCGATACAGGAGCTCCTGTCGCCGCCGTGTGTACGGATGATGACGAAGGCGCAGGGGGTCAAGTTCACCACAGTAAAACTGCAGCTTCCGCCAAGTACTATCAAAATAAATCTCCTGGTTGGCAAAGCTTTTTGTAAAAATCGATATTGCACGAAAGCAACGCTAAAAGGCATGTTTGTGGAACCAAAATTAATTCAAGGTATTTCAAGATTTAGTAGTTCCACTACTTCTTATCGCTTTCAAACAATAATAAGCCACTACAATACTTATTTAGAAAAGTAAACTGCTAGGGTGGTTTTATTTTGGGCAGCATATGGTGTTTTATTGTTGGGTCTGTCTCTGGTTGTCTTGACGCAGATGTTATTGCGTACGCTTGATGCGGATCCACACCGACCAGTAGCTTCGACTGACACCGCTTTCCTCCAATGAGAGATTACAATGTGTGGCCGGGCACCTCCTCCTCTTTGGAGTATGACTGAAAAACAGGGCAAGGTTGGCAAATTCTCTGTTTTTGTTCAAGTAACGTAGAGCTCTCTTTAGTGGCTTCTTTCGCCTTTTAGTGCGAGTAAAACACAGATGCACAGATATGATGCAAAATGAAATTCAACACATCTGTAGCGTTTTTATTTATTGAAATAATTAAAGGGATCAGTGCAATTATATTATATAAATACAATTATATATAGTTTGCATGAGTTTTTTGTTTGAAAGACTTAAAAATATTTTAAATAATTGTTGATATTTTTTTTTTATTATTTTGATGAATATCAGAATATCAGACGTATACAGTACACACATGAAAATGTGTTTCTCTTCTGTTGCGATAATGACACACCAGCAAAATTTCAGCATTGATTGGGAATGTTTTGTGAAAATTAAACATGCAATGAAGACAGTAGTCATTCCGAATTGACCACTTATGATTTAGTAATGAATCCCAATGCTTACCTCTAACCTCCATTTACTTTGCATTCCTTCAGTTTCAGACTTGTTAACCCATTCAGTCCCAACACTCTATGAGGAAGCACTTGGCGAGAGTGGGAAGGAAAACTCCCTTTTAACAGAAAGAAACCTCCAGCAGAACCAGGGTCAGGGAGGAGCAGCCGTCTGTCATGACCAATTGGGGTTGAGAAGAAGAGACAGGACAAAAGAAACACAGTGATAATGTATAGTGTCACATGCTTAGCTGCGCCAAGCATTTCAGAACAGAAAAGGTTAATGAAGCATATAAAAATTAAAGATTCAAGAGAGCTTTTTTCGTTACTGTGAAAAAACATTCTGTACGCTACCTAAAAATGGAAATTAGGTCTATACAAAAGACAGATTAAAACACTTATTCATCCAAAACACACACATACAAACAACTGTATGTCCAGATGAACAGAATGAGCTTTTTGGGAAATCAGATATTCATCCACTGGGTTGTGAAACTTCAGGCTATCTTCAGGCTACCTCTGCCGTAAGTTTTACCCTTATATACAATCTAATCAAGATGTGTGAAATTCCTTTTAGTTCCTTGTCCAAATACAATCCAATCTGTACAATCCAAGTGGATGATAACAGAAAAACGATTCCCCTAAATAATTTTATCTACACATACACCATGCTCCCTTTTCTTTAAGTACAAGTGCTGTTCAGCCCTTTGCCAAGGCAGGTCTGGCCAACAGGTCCTATGTTTAACACCTATAGTCTAAATCAATCACATGACTTCTATAAAAGGTTTTAAAATGATCACAGTGACAATGTTACACTGAATATTGCACTTGAAGGGAAGTCCAATAAAGTTACAGTACTTTTGTTTCCATGCGTACTGCACTAAAGTAAGAGTGTTTCAGTGTGCATCCATCAATCATCTGTGTAAGTCCCCTTGTGCTTTCAAGCCCTGACCCGCTGAGGTACAGAATCCACAAGAGCTCTGAAGTTGTCCTGTGGTCTGTGAACTTGACTACAGACTGGACTTCTGGGGATTTTGGAGGCCAAATCAACACCTTGAACTCTTTTCCATAGCCTTCAAACCACTGTGTGGGTGCACTGCTATCAAGAAATGCTGCTGCTGTGAAGAGAAGGTGGGCAGTACATGTCAAAGCAATGTCCACATGAAAGTCAGATCGCAGGATTTCCCAGTACAACATTGGCAGGAGCACAAAACTGCCTCCATTTGCTTGCCTTCTCCTTATCCTGTTACCATCGCTTGCCCAGGTAAGCAATGTATAAACACCCTCATGTCACTCTTACTAATGACAAATGATTTGGACATTTTCATAAATAAATTTCATAAATTTCCTCCATTCACTTAACATTCATTCAGTTTTTCAGCTGTTAGTATTTATCAGCTATCTATAAAAAATGATAACATTTTTATTCACAGTAGTCACAAATAATGACTTGCTCATATACACTCTGACATAAAGACAGGAGCTAAAAACCAAACCTGCCACTGCCAAATGAATAAAAATAAAAGACAATAAAATTAAGAAAATAAAGAAAAAACAAAAGAACAGCTCGCCGTATACAGACTTCAAATTTCATCCATATTTTGTGGCAGCTGGCTAATTGGTTCAGCTCTTCAGCTTTAATAGGATATGAAGAAACTCACATTTTGTCTGTTATATGTGTCTGACCAGAAATATTCATTAAAAAAAAACTCAGGATAGCAATATTTGTTACTGGAAATGAGCTTAAAATGCTTCATGGTTCTGTATGTGAGCTGTATACTCCCTTGGGTTTTAGCATGGCTATTAACAATAAAAAGAAATAAGTGCTTTTATACTAAAACTCTATATTTTGTATTTATTTTTATTTAACTAGGATAGTGTAACTACTCTATGAATTTGACAAAAGCAAACAAATGATCACAATAAACTGTGATACTGATAAATGTAGATGCTGACTTAAAAATGTGGCCTGTTAAAAAGAATGAAAGTTAAACAAACATCTTTATGCTTTCTCCCCATGTTATCATATTTATGGCAGCTCATCATAATTATGCTACAGCTTTGCATTTAATCAAAATATAACAACAATGAGTGTGGCCTAGTTAGGCTGCTGAGGGTGGGTTAAAGAAGGCACCCTAATCCACAAACTGCTGAGTGCTTTGCCGGGCTGTCTTCACTCCACTCTCACCCTGCTTCTCCACCTCCCAGAGTCACCATCTCTAAAGCCCTATTCAGCAAATGCACTGCCTCTTCCTTGCAGCCATTTTGGACTAACAGTAACCATGGAGATGTGGGTCATACAGCTCTAGCAGAGAGAGGAGACTTGTGGCTGCTGGTGGAGTTAGAGCACTGCAGGCTGCTGGAGCAGACAGCAGCAGAGAGCCATAAACTCTCATTATATCTGGGTCACTGGGATGCTCCCGCTGCAAGGAGCAGACAAGACACTATTATGCAAGAAGAGGGATAAGAGAAGTTTTGGGCACATGGTCTTATAGTAACAGGGGATGTCTGTTTACTGAGTGGGGCGTATGTCAGTAGGGTGCCATGATGACATAACGTTAGCTTCATAGCATAAGTGCCTAAGTCATTTTTTTGTGTTTTTGGAAAACAAGAAAAAACTAATTAGTTTTTTCTTGTTTTCCGAAAACACAAAAAAATGACTTAGGCACTTATGCTATGAAGCTAACGATAAGGTGAGACCAGCTGAGTGATGCTTAGTCAACCCAGCCTTCAGAACATACTGTTGTTTGGAGGGCTTGCATTCATTTACAAGCTGTGATGAACAGTTTTAGGGCTCTTTGTTGCAGCCAAATTAGGCTAAAGTGTAAGCCGTGTTTTCGATAAAATATTACACATATGTAAAAAATATACATGATTGCTGTGTTGCACACAATCGCCGTTATCATGCACTTAGAAATTAGACAAAACAAAATATTTACCGGTACAGAGAACAGACGTTTTTCAGTGCAAATCAGTGGCCATGTTTATGTGCAAGCAAATATTTTGCACTTTTCCAGGGGAGAATTATCAGATATGTCTAATCTAAACCTTATGCTCAATATAAACCAAAACATGGATCATCAAGTTTCTGGGAAAAGAAAAGAAAAGAAAAAACAAGTTGTAAGCCATGTTGTTGTGTCTCTCCTATTGTCCGTGCCCCCCCTCCTCCCCGCCAGCCACTCCATGACCTCCCCACTCTTTGGGATTTCGGACTTTTGATTGGTGGAGACCGGATGGCTTTGTCGTCATAGCCCCATTGCCCATTCATCAGCGGACTTGGGCGTTGTACTCCGCATCTCATTTGCGGCGGGGCCAATTTCTCCATTAAGGAACTCCGTTCGGGGAAAAAAATCGAAAGAATTCGCGTCTTTCGCACCTTAGCTACTTTTTCCTTGTGCAAGCGCTCGCACGTCCCTTTGTGGTCATCGTGATTCCGTGCTGATTCCTCGGTTGCAGAAGGGGGAGTCGGCGTTTGACTTGATTTTTCTGGGGAGGAAGCTTGCGGTCTTTGTTCATTCATTTGATCGGTTGGGTCCCTTTGTTGGAACAAAAGCATGGGAGCACAAATCTCCAAAACCGCTGGAAAAGAGGAAGCCGCCGTGGAACAGCCAGCAGAAGGTGCAGCCGTTGCAGCAAAAACGAACGGACAGGTAGTTTTGTGGGCTTTTTTGTTGTTGAAAAGAATGATTCAGATCTTAATTGCGCACGCGGAATTTTGCCTCAATTTAGCAATGTGTTGCGTCAATGGTGTGCTCAATGTTCCCTGTAGCGCATCTCCACGCTCACCGGCTTTCAGGGAAAGTGGCCACATGTAGGCCTGCACGTTTTTCACCGGCAAATGCACAGTTTCAGGTTATTTTCTCCAACGCATTTAAACTATATATCAAAACTTTTAAGTGAAATCATTTAAATTGATACACAAATGTATTTTTTTTAATTCATCCTACAAAAAAAATGCCTGAATGTTGCTGCACAACTATTCCAGTGAGTGATGATCGCAGAATTATTTAAAAATCGTTTTCTTTTTAAATTGTTTGTAAAATAATCGCAGCTGTTCTGCGGCTCCTGTGTCTAAACATTGCGCCTGTGCTTATTCATTTGGTTGAAATGTGTGCAGCAGGGGTTTGTGGCCGCTCTCAATGTGGCATGGCCATTTTAAAAAACGGTACCACGCCTTTGTTGCCAGATTGACGAAATGAGCCACGGTTTTTTTTCTTTCTTTTTTTTGTTGCAGACACGGGCCGCAGAATCCGCAAACTATAAAAAGCAGAAAAGAGTAGGATGAGCAAGTGCATGAAAATTTTAAAATGGTGCACATTGGTGGACTACACGGGGCATTTAAAGGAAGGGATGAGATGATGGGGGGGGGGGGTTGCGAATTCCTATGTTGTTTCCACTGGCTTCAATCTGAACGCCACCTCGTGGATCCCGGTTGTACTACCGTCTAAGCAACTAGCCTACTGCTGTAAGCCACAGATCTGTCGTCACTCTCCTGGTAACAGATGTTGTTGCAGTTTAAGGAGCTTTTTCTTATTGGTTACTGCTAGTCTGTGAGTATAATTAAATATCACAGGACACCAGGCTTTGCAGGGGATAGCCCTGCACACACTTATGAGTGTGTTTGACCTAATGAACTTAAATAAGTGCATGTTCAGTAATTTCATTTTTATTCTGTTTTCTTCCAGGAAAATGGCCATGCCAAGACCAACGGGGATACCTCTCCTGCTACAGAGGAAGTCAACAAAGCCGAAGTGCAGGCCAATGGAAGCACTCCTACTGAGGAGGCACCAAAAGAAGAAGGTGAAAAGGTAGAGGGTGCCGAAGCCAATGGAGAGAAGGAGCCTGCCGCCACAAATGGAGAAGCTTCTGCCAAACCTGAGGAAGGCACTCCGTCTACTAGCGAGGATGGCAAGCAGAAGAAAAAGCGTTTCTCTTTCAAGAAACCGTCCTTCAAGCTCAGTGGCTTCTCTTTCAAGAAGACCAAGAAAGAGTCCGAAGAGGCGACAGAGGACGGTGCGGGAGCAGCAGCAGAACCAGCCGAAGGGGAGAAGGCGACATCTGAGGCACCTACTGAAGAGGCCAAGCCAGATGAGGCCGGCGAGGAAGCCAAGGAAGCTGCAGCTGAGGAGCCAAAGGCCGAGGAGGGGAAGGCAGAGGAAACCGCAGGAGAGGAAAAGCCAGCTGAAGCTTCACCTACTGAGCCAGAAACGGCAGCCAGTCCAGAAGCCGCTGCTGCCGCCGAGTAATCCTGCTGAACCAGACAACAGAATGAAGGAGACAATGTAGCCCATCTGAAGGAATGCGAGGACTTTGTCTAAAACCAGGGATTTTTTTTTTGTTTTTGTTTTTTTTGCTTTAGTGTTTGTTTACTACTCTGCAACCATCTCATCCATAACTGCAATGTCCCTGGCAGTGATGGACAGGAGGTGTAATGGAGAGTGTGCTGCTTCCTCACTGCTTATTGGTGCTTGCATTTGTGATATGGGTGAGTGTGAGAGTGCAAATGTGAGTGGGAATTTTTACTTTTTTTTTTTTTCCCCCCCTATTTTTTTTTTTCTACATGAAACCGTGACTGTCAACACGTTGCTGAATTTGACACATATTTAATCAAAAGTGTTTGGTGCTGGGCAATTGGATGTAGCAGCTAAAGCTGTGTCTGCAAGATCTGACACATTGTGGTATTTAAAGGGAAAGTCCAAGTCTTAAATGTTGTCATTGCAGTGCACAGTTGTTTACAACTCTTGAAGCTCAACGCTCCTGTGAACACAAACCGCTCCTGTGAACACAAACCATTCCTGAATGAACTAGATTTAGTCAACTGTTAAACAGTAGGTGCTCATCACTTTCCATTAGATTCCACTGTTTCCAAACTCTGTAGTAATGCACGTTGTATAGACTTTGATATTACTGGTTTTATGACTGAGATGTACCTAAATGACTGAAGTTTTTAACAATTACCCATTGTAAATGAAGTTTTCTTGTTTTTTCACCATTTGTAAGATTGAATAAAATTGGGAGATGTTTTAAGCAAGTTTCGCATCAAGCTGTGATGACTACAATGCCTACAATACCTAAAAAATCTACACAAGAAAGCACATAAATCCGTGGTTGGGGGTACTGTCTTTAAACAGCATTGGGTTTTTTTTTTCGTTTTTTTTTTTCTCTTTTTGTTTTGTATATGAAACTCACCTTATTCAACATGAAATGTAACAATATCTGCAAACTGGTATTAAGGTGTTCAGTTTATTATATGTGAGTACTGCTGAAGAATAAAGCAACAAAATGTGGATTGGCACTCTTGAGCTCCTTTATTTATGTTTAAAAAGCATAAAAACACCACTGCTGCCCTTTTATAATACCCATCATAAATCTGGAGAGGGAGTGGGAGAGTTTAGACTGGTATTCAGAGCTGAGGTCGGCTGCTGTAGCCACAGATATACAGATTCTTTGTTTCACAGCACCATCGTGTGGTGCACTGAAAGATTTCACACATACAGAAGGCTTTTTTTTTCTTTTTTGTTAATGCAATGAGTTGTATTTAGGATTCTAAGTATTTGTCTGCTAAATCCAAACTGTAAGCTAGTTCCTCAGGAGAGGGGGCAGATCTAGACCCCTCTCCTATCCTACTTTTAGAAGCCTTGAGGGGAATGATTTTCAATTCAACTCAGTTCAATAAAACTTTATTGATCCTGAAGGTTGACCCGAAGGAAATTAGGTTAAGGCTGCTGACCTTTTGCCAGTGCCATCTTACCCTTCCGACCATACATACATTACACAACATCAACATAAACTAAATTTGACAAAAGTCTCGGAGGTAATACTCCAAGATGTTAGAAGAAAACTGCAGTCCTTGTAATGAAGAGGCGACGGTCACTTATTTAAATATTCACCTCATTTACTAAATTAGAGCAAAAGTAATGATAAATTAGCTGGTGAAGTTGGCCTTTGAGGACCTTGTTGCGTTTAAGACAGGCACATTTCTTTCCCTAAAACAAACTTAATCTCGAGTGAACCTAAAGTGAGATATGATTGCTGCCCAATAGTATTTTTAGTGATTTACCAATGAAGGAACTACACAACATAATTGTGCCACATGATTCAGGGTCAGTGGCGTTGCATCCGAACTCAGAGTTTCTGGTTTTGGACCATAAATGATAGTGTTTGAAACAAACATTTTTACAACGTCTGGAGGTTTAGTGTCTTTCGCAAACAGCATAGACTGAATTGATGCCTGTGCGAGATTCCTTCCATGAAACCCCATAAACACCAGAATGTTTTTAAGAGTGGAGGAGAAAGCAAAACACTCCTGCAGGGTGTTTTTTTGGCAGCACACAGCTCTACCCGTGCACATTTCAAACCCTCTATTTCCTTTGCACCCACTCTAACCTTGGACACCGTAGCTCTGGCCACCGCAAAAAGGGTGTGTTTTACACATAATACTTCTATTTCTGCTTCTTAAACTGCTTGTCCATTTTGGTCAGGTTGTTGAGAGACGTGCTGCTTCTTGTAACACCCAGTGTTCCTCACATGCTGCCATACACACATCTCTCTGCATCCTACTCAAGAACATCTGGTTCCTCTTTGCGTTGCTTCTTTCTTTCCAAACAGATGCACAACTGTATAGATAGACATACAAGGTGAACCTACTAACAAAAATATATCAAAGTAAATTATTCTTCGTAGTCTCAGCAGATAATTTTAGAGTGCGGCTTGTGGAGTCAGCCAGAGGCAGCTCTCCATCTGCGCTGTCCCACCTCATTGCAACAACCACAGGCCATCTCCAAATGGAAGTACCCTCAGATGGCAATACCCAGCAGTTTACTTCAGCCAGCTTCCTCTCTTTTCTTTCCCTTGGGCCCCTCACCTAACCACTGTCACGCTCTTTCCCCCAAGCGAGATCAAACAGCTGCCTCCCTGCCAAAGGACCATCCCTGTCCCTCATTCCACACCCAAACTATATTCAGCACTCTCATATTGAGGCTTGCATGGTAGAGTAGACTTTGTAAACTTTGGCTGCCAAGCAGGCAACTGGTAGCCATCATGTGGAGAGAGATTTTTTATTTAATCTATTTTAGCCTCTGTTTAGGACCATGTACTGCACTGAAGTATGTGTGAATTTTAAGCACTTTTTAAACACATATACTGACTACAAGCTGGTTAAATTGATATGATCGATGGCAAATTTGTAAGAGAATCTCAACTTCAAGGGTAGACTAAATTAGCAATGGTTGGTCTTACATAATAATAATTACTATTATTGCCTAAGAGTTAAGACTGTGTTGAAGAATAAAGGTGGTCATACCATATATTGACTTTTAAGCTTGTTAGAAATGTTCAAACTCTGTTTTTCCCTTATAAACTGTATATCCATGTATGTTTGCACATGTCTGCTGCACCTATTTCCCATTTTCTCAGCAAAATATAGAGAAATGAGGGGCGGCTTTTGCACAGTGCTGCATGTAGTTAATACTGTGCACAGGATACCAATTTATAGTGATACATTTAACAAAATGACCACAAATGAATAGAAATACATCATTATGTACATTATATATAATTATATAAGTTACATTACACTGAGGACAGTAAGTCCAACAGTAACGTTGGTAGGAAGATCCATTTTATAGTACCTGATACTTCCACTTCACATTTGTCAGCCAAAATTTTGCTTACAAAACCCATATGAGTGCTTAAAATTAAAACGTCTTGTTACTAACAAATAATGGCATGGTAGTCCAGTGCTTGGTTTGAACCTGCCGGGTGATTAGAGCCTCGCTGTGGATTGTTCATCTTATCCCTGCGTCTCTGTGGGCATACCTGTCCACGGTACGCCCCGCCTTTCTGTGGTAGTCAGCTGGAATAAGCTTCCATTAAGTAGATGAATGCATGTTGCTGACTTAAGATGCTTCATCTTAGGTAACTTTAGTATTAATAATATTTATATTAAATTACTTTTGTATTTTTTCACAATAACTTAATCTTGTGTTGAACCTGTCACAGATCACAATTATAACTTGATTTCTTGTTTTAATTTATGAATCTGCAGGAAAACTAAATTGGATTAGGGTTTTATTTTTTTACAGAACTCAACCAGTGCTCACAAAATACTCAAAGTGAGTTGACTCTTATGACTGTGTGTCTTCTTAAGCAGTTTTTGTGTTGTTTTATGTGCCTCTAACTGAGTTCTTTTTTAGTTTTCAAATTAAATGAGCTGCTAAATAAAAAAAAAAACTTCTGATACAGAACATTCATTAAGACATCATTTATTTTGGTCATTACATGACATTACATGACACAATGTATGTCCAGGGATACAACGATGTTGCTGTTAAAACAGTTTGTGTTTCCATGACAGCATTTTGGTGACTTATTTCGTCATAACGGTCAATTTGACCATTACCATTTCACAATATATTCAAGTCACATTTAGTACAACAGGTTGCACAGAAAAAAGTATTAGGGTACTTTTAATAAGATTATTGGTAACCCAAACAAAAAAACTGAAAGAAAAAAAAAAACAAGGTTGTATAAAAACAAACAAAAGCAGACAAACACTAAATTAAGAGTCACCAGTTGAAGTCAGTAAAAGGAACAGAATGGAAAAGAAAAAGTCAGGACATAACACAGTTTAACATCTCAATTTCACATGCTGTCTCCATTAAAATCTCACTGGTAACATTGTGGATTGCTTACCCCACCCCTGATCACCTGTGTTCATAAATTAGTTTTCCTTCTTCTAAGCACCTATTTCTTGTAGTTTTCAAGTCGAGATGCAACTATTTCTCAAAAATGGTGAACTGCCTGTCTGTTAGGTTGAGGAAAAACGAACAGGGAGTTTAGTTTGAGAAATGGCAAATTTAGTTGGTTGGCTTTCGGAAACTACTGAATCAACGTATCACGTTGAAGCGATGAGGAACCCAGAGAAAGAGCAGTGGACATTCTCTGCAGCAAAGACGCCATTGGCCTCATCGTCAGGGATCTGGACGTAAACTGTATCCTGCTCATCGAGCAAGAGGACAGCACTACCAGACATCTGGTCAAGGAAACCCTTGTTGTACTCATCATAAGTGAACATAACAGGCTGGCCATTCTTGTACAGAGCCACCAGGGCATGAGCTCCATTGACATGGATGCTATAAGAGAAGAAGTACACTCCAGGAACCTGGCAAGTGAAAATGCCTGACTCAGGGTCATAGTGATTCTCAGCATTATACACTATGTGGTCAAATTTAATGGGGCTGCCAGCAGGAGGGTAGGGGGTGGTCAGAGCTGCAGTGAAAGCAGACATGGGGGACTTCACCATAATCTCGCTCACACCCATGCCCTTGCCCTTCTCAAATACAACCTCACCTGGAGGGCCAGGGGGACCAGGAGGGCCAGCTGGGCCAGGTTCTCCATCAGAGCCGGGCTCACCAGGTTGACCAGGAGGACCCTCAGGTCCAGTGAGACCCTTAGCAGCCAAACCAGCGGGGCCAGGGGCACCAGGGAGACCTGGGTGTCCCTTGAGGCCTGGAGCACCAGCGGGACCTTGAGGCCCAGTAGGTCCTCTTGAACCTGGTGCACCATCTGATCCAGAGGGACCTTGCTCACCTGGGCGACCAGGATGACCTTTGGGTCCAGCAGGGCCTGGGATACCTGGGGCTCCTGGGGTACCTGGGGCACCTCCATTTCCTTTTTCACCTGTGGGTCCAGTTTCCCCTCTGGCCCCAGCAGGACCAGCTGGTCCTGGGTAACCCTGCTTACCTTGGAAACCCTGTGCTCCCTGATCTCCCTTGTTTCCCTTAGGTCCCTGAGGACCAGTTGCTCCTGTGTCACCTTTAGGGCCAACAGCACCAGGTGCACCTGTGAAACCTCTTTCACCCTGAGGTCCAGTAGGACCAGTTGGGCCAGTTGCACCAGTAGCACCAGTATATCCAGTTGGACCTTGCTCACCCTTTGAGCCTGTAGCACCAGTGCTACCTGTAGCTCCCCTTTCTCCTTTCTCTCCATTTGCACCTGGCTTTCCATATCCAGGCACTCCAGGGGCACCAGTGGATCCAGTAGGTCCCTGGTTGCCTTTAGGGCCACTTGGACCAGGCAGACCGGGGGCACCATTCTCACCTGGTTTACCTGGAATACCAACACCTGGGGCACCGGTGTGTCCTTTAGGTCCCTGAGGTCCCATGGGACCAGGGGCACCATCGCTACCTGGGCTACCTGATTTTCCTGGCTCACCTGGGGAACCTGGTTTTCCTGGCTTTCCAACTCCAGATGAACCTGTAGCTCCAGGTGGACCCATAGGCCCTTCAGGTCCTGTCTCACCCTGAGGTCCAGGTGCTCCCACCCCTCTATCACCCTTAGAACCTGGCAGTCCAGGGATACCTGGATGTCCTTTCAGACCAGGCTCTCCTCTAGGTCCCATTGCTCCAGGAAGACCTGATGGTCCAGGCTTGCCAGTAGCAGAGAGGCCAGCAGGTCCAGGGCTTCCTGGTGATCCAGGGACTCCCCTAGGTCCTTGAGGGCCAGTGGCTCCAGTATCTCCCTTCTCACCAGAGTCTCCAGGCCTGCCAGGTTTGCCAGGACCACCTGGAGATCCAGGTTTACCAGCAATGGAGCGGCCAGGAGATCCAGGGGGTCCGGGAGGTCCTTGAGGTCCAGAATAGCCTACACCATTTTCACCTGGTGGGCCAGGAGGGCCAGAAGGTCCCTCGGGGCCTGGCTCACCTGGAGGACCAGGCTCACCTGCCACTGACACCACTGTGAAGAGTTAAAGAGAAACCATCATTAGTTCCATTAGCAAACAACAAAAAAACAAAAACAAAAAACAAAAATGGACACAAAGTAACAAAGTGAAAGAAATCTCTGTGTGTATGTTCAGGATACCTTAAGTCTGTGCATAAAATTCAACCACTTATTTCAAATTAGGGTCTGTTTAGGATGTTCAGTAACTCTGACTGCATCCCATTCAAGGGACAAGTGCTGGGTCATGGATGTTCTGGCCAGCTCTCAGTGCTTAGTGTGTTTGAGTGTGCATCAGTTTTGCAGCGTTCACAAGCAATATGACTTTCAGCAATCAAATATGAGCTGAATTTTAGCTTTTAAGAAAACCTCTCTACATAATGTTCTTCATTTTTTAAAATGGCTGAAACATGATCGACTAATTGATCCAGAAGGCAGGGCATGTTTAACTCTAATGAAGCAATGGTCTAACTTGTGAGATACGCCCACATACAACTCACCTATTGATGTACAGATATTATAAGATGTTACATGCATATTTTATTTTGAAGCAACCCCATATAAACAGATGCATGTTTAGTATTATTCTAATAATTAATTTTAATACAGAAAAAGCATAACGTAAAGAAATATGGCTGCATGTAACCTGCTGAATGACTATTTTTAATACAAAATACAGGTTTCAGATTTTAATGAGAGCCTTATGATTTGTTTAGGAGCTACTCAAGCAAAATAAGAGGGAGCTCTTTTTTATTTGCTGCCTTAATGTGGTCACATGGGTTTGAGTGTAAAAGGCTCACTCCTTGGCTTATTCTGATTTAGTTTGGATAAAGCCAAACAGATGTTTCTACTTTTGCGTTAAACAGGCGCACCCAAACAAACCACACTGCTGGGTGACTGGACTTTAATTGTCAGTGTGAAACTAAAAATAACCCCATAACAGCTACTTTCTCAAATAGAAACAGCAATGAGCTGATGACACAAAAGCGACACTTCACATTTTGCACTGCGTTTGGGAAACACACAACCTCTCTTTTTGTGTTTGGCAAAATAATAAAAAGAAAAGAAAATCAAACGTAACTCATGTTAACAATTAAATAAATTGCTTGCTTAACAAATAGAGCGAATAACTCTGCCAGATTGTAAACAGAATTAAAGTGCCTTCCTGTGAAACGTGCGCAAAATAGAATAAAATAAAGTAATAAAACTGTTGCTAATGTGAATAACTCGGCTCACTTAGTCATAAGGGGTCGCCACAGAGAAAAGCTCCGCCTGTTCGATTCCCTTCTTAACAGGATTTTTTTTATCTCCTCCAGGGATCTTTTGCTTGTTTGGGGAATGTTTAAACCACTACACTACGGAGCTAGCGCTTTGGGTGAATATAAGGATACAAATATACAGGAAATGCTACAAAAACTACAGAGGGAGATTTAATCTGGTGATTTAGAGGAAAACAAAAACCTGCAAGCTCTGCTTCGTGCAAATAACCTGCAATTTCCGGCCTCACTGCGTGATTGGAGAGGCATGCAACCTGTTGTAGCCAATCAGAGAGCAACACTGGCCCAGAGCAAGGTGGAGTTCAGCTTTCAAAGTAAAGTGCAGCTGTGCCTATCATCTGCCAGGCTGCTTACGGTACCTCTATTGGTCAAAACAGCTATCCCCCTCACTGAAGGTAAGGAAATCCTGCCATACAGTGTTGCTCAAATAAGACCAACTTTATGGAAGAAGATCTCCCATAAAGTTGATAGGCTGTTCGTGAAGCTCACAAACTGATTGAACACAGGGCGAAATGATGCGTATTCTTACCATGGCTCTTCACAGGCATCACCTTCCTCACTACGTAACCCTTTCCGTGGGCTGCTGCAGAGGCCACCACAAGGAGGAGGATGGTCGCTACACGTATGTCCATCTTGCAAGGTCAAACCTGCAATGGAGGAGGAGAAGAAGAAGAAAGTCAGTACATCTGTTTTCAAGGTATAAAAAGTGCCATCAAGCTTTAGTGTTTGTATTAGTGTGAATTTTAGAGAGCCTGAAAACTTTTCTGGTACAAGAACATGCTTTAATCTTTCTTACAGAAACAATACTAGACAACAAATAAGAACAGAAAGCACAATTTTCTATTTCCACACTTCAGGCTCATGTATTACAAATGAAGGTAAAAGGCAGCAGAAGTTGCTCTATTTTTCTCCAACCAGTCACAGGAATGACTGAAGGCCCACACAAAGCCTAGATGTTGACAGCACTCCCCTAGAGATAGAGAGGAAATTTCACATACCAGCATCCAACAAGAAGAACCAAACTCCTCAGCACCAGTGAGCTCCTGGTGCTGCTGTATATCCTTAGGGTAGGAGCACAACTGAGGATATGCTGCCCTCCAGTACAATGATGTGGGTATTTATACCATATCTACCCTGCGCATCATTTAAAAAAAAAAAAAAAGCCCCCACCACTCAAGTACCTCCCTCCTCCAGCTAGGCTGTAATTAGCAGACAGATCTGCCCAAAGCGGGCATGTCACATCAGGGTTCCTCCATGTCTTGAATATCCAGACACATGATTATCACTTATTTCTGTCTTCTCCTGAACTATAAAACAATAAAAAAGTATACTTTTGCAATGGACAAAAACAATCTCAACGAGAGCAACAAGGACACCTTTCATTTTCATCTTGGTTACATGCATATGGCATTTTACAGGAGGCATTTAAAAATCTGCTCTGGACATGTTTATGTTAAAATTCCTCTTTCTAAATATGAAAATATCTTAAGGTAGTCAAAACAGACAGCTACTGTAGGTCTGTAACGGCACCTGTATAGCTTCACAAAGCGTGCTTTGAGGATGTATAGTGCACTATATGTCTCATCTCCAAATTTACATCTTGTCCAGCCGACTGGTGAAACTTGTCTTCACCTGTGCCGTCTGTCTGGACACCTCTATGCCTGCATGATAACATAAACAAGGGAAGTGGTGGGGAAAGCTTGCCTTCATGAAAGGTACAGTAGCTTTTGTGGAGTTTGACTGAAATGAACTAAAAATATTTTTTTCACTGATGTGAAGGCATTCGTATATTTAGTTCAGTACATTTCCTGGGTATTATTATTTGGTCAGCTTGTTATGTGACTAATAGAGGACAAAGTAGCTTTCATTTCAGCCTCTATTTCAAGATGAACACTTTTTCTTAACTTGGATATTTTTGTATGTGTTTCACCCTCAAAACAGCTAATAAATCTATATAAAGAGCCACTGGGAAAGGCATTTGGGCTTGTTTCTGTGCAGTCTTGTAAATGCACTCTAGTGTAGCAGTGTTTGCTACACTAGAGTGCACTACTCCTGTTTAAACACCAGAGGGCAGGTTTTACTGAGGTACAGCACCTATCCCCGGAGTGAGGTACCGCTGCTGTAGAGAAGGGGCCATGCTCCTGTGGTCACTTGTTATTTTTGGCCGCCTCAGTGCATCATCAGAGGTTTCAGTCCTATCCCTACAATAAAAGCTAGTTCCTGTCAAAATGTTGTATTTCCTCACTCCTGTCCTCCAGTATTATCCTCCCTCGCCCTCACCCTCCACCTTGTGTTGCTTACTTTGAGATGTTCCAACTGTAATTTCTCAGTTTCACCCCAGCCACATAGGAAATGCATACACCCAAATAATCACATGTTCTCAAACACACAAGTAGCCATAAACGATGTGTAGGGTAGTCCATGGCCCATCCCAAAATCTCCTTGGTGAATGGCGCAGCCAGTTATGGCACATGTTCTTCCTGTGTTCTTATAATGTATATACATACTGCTGACAACATGTGTATATTTGCAGAAATGATGATGAACTGCGTGATTGAGGGCTTCAAAATGTTTCTACATAAGGCGTCTATACTACATGTGACCGTGACTGGCATCTTCCACCACATATATAATTAAAGATTCTACAACATGGGTTGTTGGAACCCCCTTTTTAGTAAATTAGACCAAATTATCTGCAATTTTCCAAAGTGCTACCTTCACCCGGCTCATATCACTTAATCACGTTTGGCAAGTATTGTTTAAGTTCACTCTTGCTGTCAAATAAAACGTAATATAATTTGCGATCTTCATTTTCAAATATTTGAAATTTTGCTCATGAAAGAGTTGGGAGTGATAGCTCGCGGCAAAGGTGTAGACTGACTACCAGAGGCAGTAAAATGATAGAGAGAAGTTACATTGCATTTACTTGAAGTGTGTCTCAGTTGGAAGGAGCAGAGCACTTAAGCCAGTTATCACTACTGGAAGTTTTCCTTTTGAATGTGCATGTTTAGTCTTGCTTCATCAGCTTTGGAAAATCAGGTTTCTCCTGCAAATATACAGCAGAAGGTTTCTATTTTGATGAAATTACTGGTGAATGCCACACCAACGCCACATCAGTGTGCCACCAGTTTTGTTCTATGTATTTTTTTTCAAGTTATGCTCTATTATTTTAAAATCTCTTTATGCTTGTGCCCTAGGAGGAGGCCGAGGCTTTCCGGCTTTAGTCAGATTTAGATGAAAGAACAGAGCAAAGGAGGGTGGAGTTAGGATTTTGTATGTTTAGGTTCAGATCATTTCAGTTTATGTTTTTTCAAACAAGGCAAAGCCAATGCGAAAGAGGCTCTCTGTTTTTAGTCTGTTGTTCTGAAAACAATGATTCATCTCTTTATGCATGAAAAAAAACTCCCATCATGCATCTGCATGTGAAGCGACAGGAAGGCTCATGCTGCGCTTTGGAACCAGAGCTCATTTTGGCTTGAGGAAGACTTGAATTGACAGTGCAATTTTGATGTTGTTTATAACCTTGCAGCATATATTTTTTTTGCTTTTCTTAACACGCCACTGCACTTATTCGAGAAGGACGCAGTGTCCTTGTGCCTTCTAGCAGCTGAATTGAAGGCTGTGAAAAGTACATGGCAGAGCTCTATCTGCTCTTCTCATTACTTCGCCGCAGCAGCTTGATGTGGCTGGCAAGCCTCATTGTAATAACCATTAGGAATTAGGTTAACGGCCTTCAAACTTGAGGTAGTGACGTCGCTTCGTGCTTATATTCCTTGTGAGCCCCCCACTGTAAAACACACACATGCTTTCAGTTTTGTGTCACTTTGTACCCTTGATATGTGACATCAAATATTTTTTTTACTGAATTTAGAAAACAGAGAAAACAGCTAATTATGCACACGCCCAAAGTCACTGGGAGCAAGTGAAAGCTGAATCGCTCCTTGTTTTAAGATCGCACAGATTTTATGGCTGTTTTTCATGTAGTTTAGTGACAGCAGTCATTTAAGGAGTCATTTGAGGTACTTCTTGAGTATTTGCTTTTTTGGTACTTCACTATCCAATAATTATTGCAGTATTTATTTCACTATATTTTTCTCACAACTCTTGTTAGTAGCTTTGCAGTTTCAGATTATTAATGGAGTCATATGTCAATGCTTTTTTATTGCATAACACAGGGATTCATATATACTTTTTTTATTGCTGCTAGTGTCCAATCAGAAACTCTTATTTTGGAGCATAACTCTTTGCAGATTCTTCATATGCCCCACAAAACAAACATGAGCTGAAATAAGGATAAAAACAAGCATGGGAAGCCATGACAGGGCAAAGTTTCTTGCCTGACCCTTCTGCATGAACTGGCATTTTGAGGCCTTGCATGTTCTTCAGGCCTTCATCCGTATCTAACAACAGCCTGTGGATTTCACTAAAATCCCCAGAGAGTAGCTGGACAGCATTACTGGCAATGCTGGTGATGTTTGTGCCTGTACTCTGCAATGATAACAGTATTTGAGGGAAAGCTTTTCGCATTTTGTTTCTCTTTCTGTGCGCTCCACTGCCTAGGAATCGATGTTTTTGGTTTCTTCGACATTCTGGCCGAGGCTCAACCCACACCCAGCAGAGGCACATAATTGGCGGTTGATGTAAGGGGGCCCGGGCCGAGCACGTGAGTTAAAGGCTAAAGATACACCATCACTGCTGGGATACAAATTTAATGTTTCAATAAACTCCACGGACCACTAAAAACTACTTTAAACTTTATGAATGGCAGCCTTGACAGGGGCCTATGTGAGTGATTGGTGGGGAAATTATAGGGTCCTGAAAACAAACAGGGACCCAAATGGTGCCGGAAGCGTAAAAGTAACTGAAAAATGGCAGCGGTAGCTTTAGAGACGAGAGCTGGTGTCTGGGAGGTCACCAGTTTGAAATCCAGAAAGGCAGAAAAACTGGGGGGATGAATGAGAAAGCGCCTGTTGGGTGTTCTTTGACAGATGCCAGGTGTAAACGCATGTAGCTACGTGTTAACATGAAAGCTTTCCTCAGCCAGACACCGCATGGTAATCTAACGTAAATTCTTTTGACTTTAGGGTGTTTTACCCCCGTAAACACACTACATTTGCTGTGCAATTAAGCCGATAAGTTGGAAATAGTTTGAAATTTGTGCTCACTGCCTGCTTGTGAAGGTATCGCCGTTCTGGCTGTTGAAGCTGGTGCTAGACGCACTTCTGAAAATGAGGACTTGCTTATTGCCAGTGAAGCGAGTCGAATGCTACTTGATTTGATTGCTTCTGTTTCCATAGTTCAGTATGCTGTATGTTTATTTATAGAAAGGTCTGACTCAGCTGTCATTTTCGGGCAGCTTTCTTTAGTTTTGCAGAGGAAATCAGGCCTTCAGAAGTGCAGCAGCCAGAAACTAATTGAATGAGTACTCAGCCAGACAGTTTATGGGGTGCTACAGGGCACCCAATTTACTTCAAAGGTAAAAAGGTCATAAGAACATACAGATATTTTTCGCATGCTTGTTGTGTCCTCAAGCGAGGAGGCGATCTTTGCTCGTTATCGTTTTTATCATCGTTTTTATATTTTGGGGGATTGAAACAAACAAACGGTGAAACAGAGGACAGACTGCTGAGACTATCTGTTTACTGTGGGATCATTTAAAGATATCAAAGCGAAATAAAACGACCTTAATGGGATTTTCAGCGCTTAAGCATAGGTGGCAGAGTCCTGTATTTAAGGATAATGACTAATCCGCTACATCGTGCCTGTGAAAATTTAGGGTTTCACCGTCTGTATCAGTGAATGCAAGAGAATCTGTTAGAGTGTGTGTGTGTGTGTGTAGGAAAGTGCTTGTGAAAGGCAGGAGGAGCAGAGGTGGATTTATTATTTGTTCATAATCACATCTGAGTTGAACGTGTGGTGGGGGAATGACACTTTGTGTGCTTCAAATCCAGAGTGACAACCAAGAACCATGTTTACACAACACAATGTCACCTCACTTGCTGGAGCAGATTGTTAGCACTGCGCCATAATGACCGCTGGAGAGACAAGACAAGTGTTGTTTCTGTACACTATATTTGGG